AATAAAGGTAAAAGGAAATTAATTAAACATTCAACGTTTTATCATTGATAGCTATTTTCATGTAAGTGAGCGTTACGGTTTAAATTAGGGTTTCTCCAACTTTTTGTTTCATAACCCCCCATAATAGATTTTAGATGATAGCGAACCTCTTAACTAACTGACCAATCTCCTCCTCCCTGAAGAAAATCATAAAATTGGTTGTTAAAGGAAACAAAGCTAAGGTATTCATTCACATAAATAAATATATGCAGTGTCAAAAAAATATGGATAGGGTTGGTTTACAGACGTGATTTTGGTCAATTTTAACTTTATGTAACTCTTGTTGCGATCCTAATCTCGAATGGCGAAAAAAATACGCCTGAAACCATTGTTTCAAGAAAGGTTGAAGAAACAACGTTATACTGGAATATGAACCCATGATGCTGCTGCTGCCACTGCTGGAGAACAAGATTTGCAACGATTAGAAATCAAATAAGCAGAATGGGCCACAACCCACCATGCGGGCACGGTGCGTGTTGGTGGGTGTTAATGATTGCAGATGGTTTCCGAGACTAACGGCTTATGGATCATTTACACGAGAATAATAGCCAACAATCCAGTAAGCCAGTCCCATATCTTTCTCGTGAATGGAGACAATCTTCAAGCCAGCCCAATGAAATAGAACTTTCTAATTTTACTTACTAGATCGTATTCAGCTTCGTGTAAATCGTATTCAGCTTCGGTCCCGTACTGTGCCTTCCCAAGAAAAGAGTTCAAAACAATAAAATTTTGGTCGACCGTCCTATACTTGGCGCTTGTGGAAATTGCTTAACCTCCGCATATCAGAACCGAAAACACCCTAAGTAACTGTCTTTTTATTGATTTTGTTCCAAAAATAATGTGCTAATAAACTGTAATTCAGTATATAACAAGTAGTAAGTATATAACAAATAGTAATTAAGTATATAACAATTGTCAATTATGTATATTTATAAATTGTTTATTTGTACACCATCCACTACCCCATCATTAGGTCTTTTATATTTAACTCCATCCCAAGGTTGCCTGGAACAAAAACACTTAGTGATAAGGCCGCCAATTGTACGTCTCCTGTTTTTGTCATATACGTGTATATTGTCTTTGTGTGTGCAATAAAGAATATTCTATCTATCTTAAGTGACAACATGATATTCCTAAGGGTTTTGTCACAGTTGATAAAGTGGATTTATAAAATTTTCTCGATAAAAAAAATATAAATTCTAAAGTTCACAATTTTATTTCGTAACTACACTCTTTTGTTATAGGGATAATTAATAAATATACCTTGTAGCCGACGGCTATATGCTATACCTACTCCTATACATAGTAAAACAAATTCGCATCCCGCTGTCTGTACGCCGAGATTTTTAAAAGTACACAATATACAGAGTGATTCTAGCAAATCCGCCGGCGGAAACCTAGTTAATAATAAATAAATCTAGTTTATACCAGTGGTTGGCGAACAATTAATAAAATTGTTTCCTTTTTATTTATTATTCGCGTTCCTCATGCCAGGTATAATGAAATAGTCAAGGATAGTGTTTTGTATTTGCAGGAAGTTTAATTGTTAGTGACTATGTGAGTTAAATTAATCAATTCAAACCAAAGTCTATGGTTATTTTATAATGATATTTTTTATTAACAAACAAAGTAACGCTAAAACTACATAAATATCACATTGTCTATAGAAGTAGAGCAAGTAGTGCCTGGACCACCATAACAACCAGCTGCAAAAGACCAGGTAGTAGACCACCGCCAATGCTTATCAGGAGTTCCTCAGTCAAATCCGAAATTGATGTTATAAGAGTAGACAGTAGACCTTGTAAGTTCACCACATTTGCTGGTGGAGAAGCAGGATTCGCGCCAGCTGCGTATTCGGGCAAGGATCTTAAGAAGTTAACAATAGCTAATGCTTGGGAATACAACTTTAGTAAGGAGGTTTCCAATGCTCCTAAATCAACTGGTATCATGCAAGTGATGGAAGGCGGTAGAGTATCGAAAATCGATAAGAGAGATAAAAGGAGGTTATATACGTTGTTCAAAAGAGGTAGTAATACGTTAACAAGAGGGTATACTGCTGGCAGTTGGATGTTGGATGAAGCTGCTACTGGCACCTGAAAAAAGGAAACTGGTTAGTCTTTGTTTAAAATATTTTTTTCTTATTCTCAAATTTTAACAGCTCCAATTACAAATATATAGTTGAGGTTGATTTTTGTTGTTATAACCGAATGAATTCGGCGTCAAATTCCATAAATGTCTATTGCGATAAGGAAAAATAACTCCAAAAGGAAATACATAATAAAAACGTACAATTTATGACGTCTGTGTGATTCAGATTAGATTTCTTTTCAAAAGACTTTCAAAGAATTACTTCGCTTTAATAAAAAAGAATCAATCAAAATTCCTCTATGGCCAATCGTGTTTGACATTTTCTTTTTTATATACTTACAGCTATACAGACTGCGACAGTAATTATCAAAAAACATATTTTCGACATTTTAGCAGCTATAAAAAAAAAATAATCCTATTATATCAGCCGTTTCAAAGAAATGCTAAAATGTTTTGTATGTTAATTTACTAATACTTGCTTTTTTATATAACGTACAAGTAATTATTGCAATATGGAAAGTGTTTGATAAAATTATGTTAAATATTTCTAGTTTTTTATTGATTGATAACGAATTACTATCGCATATTATTTCATATGATGAGTTACGTTACCTAGTTACGACTTTTTATTTTACTGATAAAATAATTTAGTGTTGTGTAAAGGGAGTAAATTTCGGCAAGAATCTCCGCTAAGGCTATTTTTGCTTAATTCATACATGTAAACTATATTGAAAAATAAATTATCAATCAATCATCATCATCATATCAACCGAGAGACGCCCACTGCTGGGCATAGGCCTGCCCCAAAGATTTTCAACGTGATCGGTCCTGCGCCTCCCGCATCCAGTGGTTATTAATATTTATGTATCTGATTGATACAAAAATATTAATAAGCATCGTATGCATCCTGAGATGTAGGAATTATTCAACTAAAACAATCTGAATATATTTTTATCAAAGTTAAAAATATTTGTATAAAATAGTCCCCGAATTGCCTTAACTTTGATAAAAATTACAGGAGGAGAGAAATTAACAAATGCGCTAACCACTGCGCGATCGGGCGCGTTTGGTCTGCGATGCTGAGGCAGCAACTTTCGCTAGGGCCGGTCAGAGGATGGGTGACCATAAATTTACTATTTCGAGCACTTATATGTTTCGGAAAACACGATAAACTGATGATCCCAGCTGCATCCCCAGTTATTAGTACCCACTAACCCGCGCTGGGCCCTCGTGATATATTGACTGATCTCTCTATTCGATTCTATCCAGGCCTATGCCCCAGCAATGGGGACATAAATAGACTAATGATGATGAAATATATGCCTACTAATAGAGAGAGTAAGAGCTTAAGAAATTCGCCGGTCCGTAGCTCAATGGTTAGAGCAGTCGCCCGGATTGCGATTGGTTATGGATTCGAATTCCATTTGACATCTGAGAGTTTAAAAATATATTTTAAACTATTCTGTAATATGATATCATTAAATCATGAAATAAACAACACAATATTCTAAACGCTAGTGAAAAGTAATTAAAAAATAAAATATAAAGTCCATTTGTTATGCTAATATAATGAAATTAAAGGTCAGAGTCATTGAAAATGTATATAATTTGCATAATATTAAGTTGAATGAAATGCAGAAATGAAAATTCATGTAGGCATAATAACAGTTTTATTTGCACGTATGTAAAAGCTGTATAATGTTAAAGTCATGGTCGAATGATGACCTCGTTTTAGTAGAAATTGTTTGTAAGTATTATTTAAACGACTAAGCGATTATTATTATTTACTAGCTAGGGAAATGTTTAGTGGGATAAAAATTATCTAAGTCCTATTATCTAAGTCAGCTAACACACTATCTGTATACCAAATTTCATCAAAATCCGTTCAGTAGTTTCGGCGTGATTGACCGACAAACATCCAAACAAAGAAACTTTCACATTTATAATATTAATAGGATACTCTAAGAAACATTAAATATATTTAAGTATTGTTTCTTTCTAATACATTTTGCATCATAAACAATATAATATTTTCTTTATACTATGATATTTCATTCATCGATCTCCGAGACCGAGTGACGTGCACGCCACATCAAAAGTGTCAGCATTTGTGAGGTCTCAGGTTCGATTTCCTGGCAGGAATTATTTCTAATTTGATTTATTAAGTTACAGGATCCTCCTATTTTAAGTTCCCACACATCCATTTTGAAATTAATTTATAGTAAATATATCCCTTGCAAACGTCTTTAGCTTCCTTGACGTTTCATTTAATTATTCAAAAACGCACACCGGCGTTGTAATGAATCTATTTTACTAATCTGTAATAAATACAGCCTCAAATTCACAGTTGAGTACAGCGCTATCTAAGCATCTTCTATGCTTTCAATGAAATAATCACGCACAATTTTTTGTGTTATTTGATTGAACTTCTATGATGTGACAGCGCTGTGTGCGACGTAGAGTTTAACGCTTATTTTATTACAAAATACCACTGTTGATCGCAGAAAGTGAGTATGAGATATGCAATTTTTAGTTATCAAAAAACTCAAACGCTTTTGAAATAAATCCGAATCATAATTTAAGTAGTTCAGTCAGGGACTTCAATTATTTATCTATGATATACATTTAACATCTAAAACCAATGGTTTGAACGAAATGAAGAATATTTAACTATTATACAATTGTTTATCATTTATGATAAAATTAAAACATATCGAAGTTTTTCGCAATTTCACACAATGATGACATTAAAACATAGTTTTGTGTGATAACAACAGTTTATATATAGTTAAATACTTAGAAAAAAGTAATTATTCACGTTTAGCATTTAGATTAAAAATAATATTAAATAAACAAAAAAGAAATCAGAAAAAATGCGCACACAAATAGCGCTTGTTGTTTTCGCTATTGCAATATTGGTTAGTAATTCTTTTTTTATTAAAAAATAGTCATCAAAAGTTTAAAAGATTTTAAAAAATGTGTATCGTTTTAAATATTTGCTTCTTAAATATGACTTAAGAATTAACTTGCATTAGAATGATTAAAATTATATTAAATTAAATTATTAAAATTATAAAGATATTTTAAATTATTCTATGCTTAAATTCAACTATTATTCATAATTAAATTAAATGGATAATAGATTTTAGCTGGCATAAATAATACTGGCTTCAGAAACAAGTCTTTATACCGATAGAAAAAAATTGTATATCGAAAATAAAAAACACCAACTTCGAGTGTGAATCCATTATATACCTGCCTTAATTAATTTTTTAACGTTTTTATCTTAGCTTGTTAGCTTAGCTTAGCTTGTTATATTAAGACAACGATCTCAGCAAAGAGGTTGTAAGTTTTCTCTCCCGCCAAAACTAATCTTACTTTTTTGACAGGTGCCGAAAAGTGAAGCTATGATTCCCGCCTATTCCGTGTCCGCCATCCGGTTGGCGTTCGACGAAATCGCCACTATCTTGCCGATCGCGAACCAACTAGCGTGCCTCCTTATACCGTTCCTGATTAATCTTATAAACAATTTGAATAATCTATCGAATATAGTGCAGAACTTGACACCAGCTTTGTTGCCATATTTCGGCTGCACTCTTCCACTTTTGTACGCAACTTTAACAGATTTAGCCTCAGTACTGTTCTTATACATAAGCGTTTTGATTTCTTTATTCAGATCTAATGTTTTAGCAGCACCTGGTTTACTGATAGGCTTAGTATCGCAAGTGCTAAATCTAGTACTGGGACTTCTAACTGGCTTATCTGATGGAACAGGTCTACTAAGTGCTCTTATTAAGTTGATAACAAATGTAGTTGTTGAGGTGGAAAAACTGCTTTTGTAGTAGAATAGTCTATGCTTATTGTTTTGTTTTTGTTTGTTAATAAAGTTTTAAGACAATTTTTAATTTATTCTTTATTTATATTTACAAACAGTTTTTAGCTATAGCATTATTACATTTCTGTTTGATAGGTTCGGGTTTATTTTGAACAAAAAAATTATTTAACTATTGTCTATGCTTTCTAATCATTACGTGCCCAATGAAAAGATTCGTTATAATTGGTTCGCATTCAGCAAAGATTTTCTCATACGCCTAGCATGGTATGCTCGAGAAAAGCTTTGTATACACCAAATGTTCTTTTACTCTGGTCAAGAGTGAGATATTCGCTCTCGAGAAAAGTAACATTTGAGAGACAGATAAAACTTAATCGAGGTTGTCATGCTACGCGTGCTGGAGAGTGGATTATATTGACGGTATTTTTGTAATTTTATAGCCAATTAAACACACGGCTGCATGACAGGTAACCACAATTTGTCAAATTTGCAGAATTAAGTGATGAGTTTTGTATAACCTGATGTGACGCTAACTGTTTTGTAGGTTTTAAAAAATACAATAAATACAAATAACTATAATATATATCTACATAAAAAAATAGAGTAAGATATAATTCTAAAATAATATAGAATTAAATGTAATTTGATTTCCCTTGAATTCAATAACAATAAAATAATGAATAATTGAAGATTACAAGAATGTTTAAACGAAAACGGCAACAAACCAGTTTAATTAAAAATAACTTTTATTTTTTAAGTCAGTTAAAATTATGAAATATGAATAAGAAAATTTTGGAGCAATTTTTTGGTTGACCACCTAATCCAACTGCCTGAACAACTGTCAAATAAAAAATCAAGGTATCTAGTTTCATGGAAAACATTTTTTGATTTCCCTTGAGATTGACACGTTGACGTTAACATAAAAATGGTAATCGAGGTTGCATGTTCCATTTATTTTAAATTGAATTCTCCAAATTTGAACTCTTGAAAATTTTTCATGATTTTTTTGTTAATTCAATCCCTTTGTTTGTCGAAATCGAGCTTCGTCCCAAAACTTTTGAATAGTAATAATACAGATTTGTATTTATAACAGAACTAATCGTTTTTATGCGACTTCGTCCGCGTACATTATATTCTATATCACTCACGTATCATGTATCTTCTAGTAGGTAAAATAAGTTTTAAAATTGGACCAGTAGTATGCAAACAAATAAAAAATATCTTTATAATATAAGTTTAGATAGTACTGCAGATCACATATTTTGATTAACCAAAATGGACACTGCTAAGCATAAAATCGCGACAGTTTCAGATTACTACATCGACCATTATTATCAACTTCTTAATTCGTGTCCAATCTATAAAAAGGGTGATATCTTCAAAAATCTCATTGACTACTTATCTATCGGTAGTATAATAAAACTGTATATAAAAAGATCACGTATTCATTTATGAAGGTTTGTCTTAAGTTGTCTGGTTTATTCAGTTTAAAATATTGGTAGAAGATTCCTTCTTCATAAGTTGTGTGAAAAAAAAATGTTAATAAGTTTCCATTTTTGAAAATAATGTATCAAAATGAAAAAGTTTACTATTATTTGGTTGGCCTTATACGGAAACTGTTTGGTAAGTTTTTATTCCTATCTTTTTAACTTATTATCGTGGATATATTTTATTGTATACTTATTTTATAGTACAGACAGCGCAATCTATGAAGCTCTCTTATAAATCGACTCTTGTTCCAATAGTCTAAGTGTGACAGATTCTGTTAATATTTGAGTTTTATCGGTACATATCAATAAACACGCACACCTCAATAAATAGATTAATTAGGAGAGAGCCTAAACGATTAGAAAGAAGATTGGGAGCTGTCTTCTTTTAAATATTCTGCACTTATTTCCCATTTAGGCTTACATAGTGTTTATTATTCCGTCCGAGCAATTTTCACTAAGAAGGATTCAAAGTTATTGCTTTTTTACCCGACTGCAACAGAAGCAGTGTTTTGCTTTTAGAGCGTACATGCGTATGTATGTAGATTTCATTTATTTCATGTTTCATTTTACGTCCTAAATTAGGGATGCTTTTTATGGATACTCCCTGAAGTGGAAGTGGAATCACAGTGGAACATTTTATAAATTTGTATTTTTTTATTACTATAATTACCACATAACATTTATTAATGAAACCCTTGCCATTGAATATAAGAAACTTAAATAAAACTTATTTTTTTTTCACAAAAAAGAAAAAAAAAATTGTCCTATTTTTATATGTGTTATATAACGTGTTAGTTTTGTAAATTATATGTTAATTAATATTCGTTTTGAGTCCTTATACTTAGGCGGGCGTGCGTGCGTGCGTGCGTGTGTGTGTGTGTGTGTGTGTGTGTGTGTGTGTGTGTATGTGTGTGTGTGTGGTGTGTGTGTGTGTGTGTGTGTGTGTGTGTGTGTGTGTGTCACTATAGGTAGTTCATTCTATTTTTACATGTCATCCAAGTAATATCCCTTTTACACTATAGCACATGTACCTATATCAATTTAATTTTGTTATCTTAGTTGTTTAAAGGATTGAAAACTCTATTTGACATTATTAAAAGTCAATTTATTTAATTTATGGTAACTTAAAATATACGAATATCTATATATTAATAACATTAAACTAACACCTTATTGAATAAATTCTTTATTATACTTTATCATAATCTTAATGAAAAATGCTTGAAAAATCCACTTTGTCCATGTCACTCTGAGATGGGAATCGAACTCATGACCTTTCGCAATCCAGGCGACTGCCTTAACCATTGAGCTACCTAGGATCTAACAGGACTGACAAATTTTTCAAGCACTTGTTACCTTTTCGCTACTAAAAATTATTAATTGAATAAATAGCTGCACAGTTTTCAAAGTATTTTCGTCACTTGTCAAAATGGATCAAAAACTTTGGAAGTTTTCGTTCCTTACAAATAGTTACAGTATTATACAAATGGTCACAGATATTGGTACTTGAGCATTAGGTAAAATATGGAAAATGTCAGCCAATCAGAATGATTCAATAATATAATCGCGCTAAGGGGCGATCCACCAATATCCATGTGCCTTACCCTTGCTGCATATGAGTGAGATGGACACCTAATATGCTATTTTACACCTTATTAGAACAAGATTCACTATAAATTTTAACCATATACGTCATCAATTGCATAACATTAGATATATGTTCTGCTAAAACATAGATTAACAATGTGCCATATTAATTGGACTTTCTGTAACATAATTTAAAAACTTAACTATGTTGTTCAAGAAAATTGTTGTTGAAGAATTTTTTTTTAACTGATACTCTGTGATGTTTTTTTTTGTGTAAAGTTATCATTAATATAGATTAACAAAATGTGATAAAATAAAAACTTCTTCACGAATCTGTTTTGTTTTTGAAAATTCAGTATTCTAACTATGATGTTTTTTTCGTTTCAGGTATCAGGAATACCAATAAACCAAATCATACCATCCCAAACATGCCCACATAATCCAATAACATACCATCAACCTGTGAATATACCATTGTTATTGCGACAAGAAAACATACCGCAATCGATATTTGATATATATCAACAGCCTAACAATAATAACTTCTATCCTCCACAAGTTCTTACTCAAAATGAATTAACGACACCATGTCAACAAAACGTCAATTATCCGAATAGTGGGTATCAAATTCCTGTGAATCAACAAATTGATCCAATTGCCAATCAGATAAGCCAATTATACATGAATAAAATCTTATCAAATCCAATGGTGCAAGAGATTTTAGACTCTAATTCGAGGATGTACAATACAGCTGTTCTAGAAATTCCTAATCAAATGTTTAACAACATTGCTACTCAAGGTAATGTACCACATGTGGTAAATAATTATTTTATATTACCATCTGAATTATTAAATATTAATGAAGATATTGATTCGTTAAAACGCATTCAAAATCAAGCAAAACATAATGATGGAAGGCCACGTCATAATGTAAACAGAAGAAGGAAATCAAATAAAGAAGCTACTGATAACAAATATTCAGGGAATGTTCAAAGAAGGCAGCTAGATAGAAATGGAAATCACAGAAGCGAAAAAATAAGGTCAGGGGGTGATTATAACAAAAAAGGGCATCAAAATTATGATGATCAAAAATGTGCAAGCAACAGAAAGAAAAATAAAAATGTGAGTATTGAAAATGAGAATCGAGATCACAAAGAACGCAAAAGAGAAAGTAGACCAAAAGGCAGAGGACAGCATTATAATAACCATCGAGATCAGCCGTCACTGATTAAACAAGAACCTCCAAAAATAGTGATAAGATTAAAAGATATCGATAAAGTACATGGCGATGAACAATATCCGAAATCAAGTCATATAGTTCCACAATCAACTGAAGTGATTGAAACTAATAAACGCAAGAATAATAATTGGAACCCGAAAGATGACGCTATTATCGAGGAGTTTAAAATTAAATTTCCAGGTATTCCAGAAGAAGTTGTAAGAAGCTTGCTAGCTTATCTGAGACATCAGCTACAGAAGCAACAGCTTGGTCAATCACCATTTTACTATCCTGATGTCACTTTTCCTCTACAGTTTGAACAACTATTTCCACATATGAAGTGGTCTAATACTAATATCCATGAATCATACGACCATAAAAAACGCCGTCCAAATAGAAGAAATTCTAATCAAAAAACGAATCAGAATCAAAAAACTAAACCTGTAAATGTGGTTAAGATTGATAACACCATTCCAGAATCAATTACCATTGACACCACTACTTTGAATACGGAAATCACAACTTTAAACTATCAGGAACCAACGACAGAAGACATTCTGGAAACAACAACGAATGTTTTGATCACTCCAGAACTTGGAACTGAAGATGTAGTGGTTGATGTAAACAACCGCTTAATTGATGATTATTATCCTGACTTCACTAATGACAAAACTTATTTTGACAGCGAAGAAGTACAGTTCGTTCGTAATCATAGAGATAATAGATACTATTACACCACAGCTAGAAATATTAATGACGAAATAAAGAAAGGCGATAATGTCGAAAACGTATTGATGAAACCTACTACAGATAACGATTCCGAAACGGAAATAACAGTCTTTCGCACCCCACCATTGCTAGAAATTCCAAATTTTAAAACTAAACAAATTAGTAAAGGAAAACCAATTAATAACCATCATAAAGATAAAGGCTTTGATAAATTTTCCACATATTCTGATGCAAAAATGCCTCCAACGAAAGATCTTAAACACAATCATAAATTAGAAAAATCCAAAAAAACGAAACCTGATATTGAAACAGTATTTGCTCATTCTAAAGTTGTGAAATATGGTAGAACTGATGAAGTTGATGAAGAAAATGAGACTTCATTTGTAACATATTACTTACCTGCTAATATGCAATATGAAGATGATGGTAAAACTGTCATAGTTGCCAAAAGTATACCAGAAGATTATTTCTGGTGATAATTAAATTTATTATAAATATAAAAAAATATTAAATAGTTTCAGATATTTACTTTTCATTATTAATTCAAATGTAATTTTATTTCATTTTATCTTACAATAAAGTTAATGTGAATTGTTTAAATGTTTTATTGTGTAAAATATCCTGCTTAAAAAGTCAAATCTTAGTTAAGTTTTTTGTTCTTTACAATCAAGACTAGTACGATTTGCAATTTTCTTAAGGATTCAAAGATGAGCATTTCGCATAATACTATAATAATAATAATAACATAATAATAACTTTATTTCCAATAACATGACAATATTCTTTGAGCCCTGTCTCCCATACTAGTTTGAACTGTATAATGGGAGCCAGTGCCTTCCTAATTACAGTTACAATTCAATATTGGAGGTGGTCTACCAGAATAATAAATACAGAAGGTTATTATTAACATAAGTTAGTTACTGCCAATTTCTTCACGTGGTATTAGGATCTTCATAAAAAATATAGATTTTTTTTTCCATATTATGTTAGTTTAACATTTTAGCATGTTTGTTAGCGTAATAGGTAGTTATTATGTAGGTTACAATGAATTTAAGACATATTTTTTATTAGTGTCGATACATTTTTTTTATTTCTACCATCTTATCTTCACGTGAATTCTTTGCGGGAACGCAGTGAAGAATTTTGAAGTATCTACATATTAAAAAAAATCAATCGAAATATTTTTATATTCAGAATAGACTTATTTTAGGATATCATACATGAATAATATTAATACATTTTTATACATTATAAAATAAATGTAAAATAATGTCAACAAATTTTGTAACAAACGATATAATAAAAAGGAAAAAGTTTACTTCGAGCAATAAAATTCAATGTTCATAAGTTTACTTGTAAGTCGGAACAAATTTATTTATTAAATTCTTATTTGAGAGAAGGAAATAATATTCATTATTAATATAACGATACATTGTTATAAGCAATCATTTATAAATTAAGTTAAAAACAATAAGGCCATAGCAGTTTCCAACGCTTCGCCTTCATTAAAATCATTGTTATTTAACAGTTCATTCAAAACTAATAATCGTAGTAAACGACCGAGTTCGCTGTCATCTTTATTTTTGGTCGTCATTGCTGATAAGTCTATTACCGGAGGAGAAGGTAAAACTGGTTCTGGCAAGTAAGAAGGCGAAATACTTGGATAGTCAAAACACGGTAGATCAGGAGAACCTTTAAATTTAAACCCAAACTCTTCTATTACTGGCATAACGTTAACTGTTAGAGAAGCCATATATGGAGTCATATTTGAAACTTCCGATTCAAAGTTGTTGAAGTCTGTTAAATCCGAGTAGTCTGGTACTATATTTGGTATTTCAAAGTCTAACTGAGATAATAAGTCTGGTACTTCGAAGCCATTGTAAAGCTGCGCGTTTTTTAAAACTTTTCTTTGTGGCTCATAAGTGTCATAAATATAAAAGGGTTCCCAAAATATTGATGGATCGACAACTGCTCGTGGCGGAGGATAAAATGTTTCAGGTCTTGGTGGTGGACTAGCAGGTTGAATATTTTTTGGAGTTTTATTTTGTGTCAATTTCTTTAATAATAAAGTGGTTAGTACGTTTTTAGTTACTACAGAAGCGGCATCGTTTATTGATCCCACGACACCTGATGGGGATAACATTTTCTCTATTTGTGAAGATAGGGGATTATTATAAGGTAAATTTAAGTAGCTTGCACTGGCCTGAGGAAGAATATAATTTTGTGAAGGATTAACTTTAGGTAAATATGATATTGAGGTAATATATCCAGTGTTGAGATAATTGGGAGACGATTCATATTGCTTTTGAAACGGTAATCCACTGTTCTTAGGATAATCTCTCGGAAAGTCTTGTGTCGTATATTTTCCATTATTATTAATATATGAAATTATAGGAACTTCCTTTATGTCAGGGGCTGAAGATATGAAAAGTAACGGTGAAGTGTCTGGTTGGATAGATTTCAAATTTGTATTTGCGATGGAAGGAATGAAATCCTGTGAAAAAATATAAGAAGATGGAAGGTTTGGAAAATTACCAGAAATCGCTGCATTATTTACATATTTTAACGAGTTATCGGGTTCATTTTCTGGAGTTTCATTGATTGGGATATTTGGTGGTGTTTTGACTAGTGGAATATTATTATAAATTGAGGATGTTGGATACAAAGACGGAGATGCCGTATTGATATTAGCTGGATATTTTGGAGACATGTTAGGTATTGGAATGTTATTTGATAAAAAGTTTTCAGGTTGATTCACAGGTTGCTTGATATTCAGTGGATATTGAGGAGTTTCTATTTCCTGAAGAAATTTGTATTGGTTTATTTGCTTTAGATTAGGTTTAGGAAGATCAATAATTGGATTGATTTTATTTAAAATTTGATAGGAATTATCAGGAAATACATTGGTGGTTCGAGGATTAGTCAAACTCGGCGAACTTGAAGAAATCGTATTCAACCGGTAGATAACATTAGAGTTTTCGTTTATATTTTCGAGTGTGTTTGAAGCAGGTACACCGGGAAAGGCTTCATTTACGTTTTTATTTAAATTGAACTCAAAATTTTCAATGTTTGGTGAATAATTACTATATGGATTCTTAGTTTTTTCTAGGAAGTTGGGGCTTTTATTAGTAACAGTATTCAGAAGCTTTGAGACGCCAAATCTTGAAGAATATGATGAAGAAGGAATCGGCTTGACAGACGCGAGTAATTCCGGTTTTATAGGTAATTTCTCTAAATTGAATTTTGCTACTGTTTTTGTAAATCCTGGAGAAGTATTTGTATTTAAATCAGTTCTTAAATTAGGAACTGAGTTAAGTCCGATATATGACTTCGTATATTGTGAAGGATTTCTTGGTAATTTTATAGCGGGCAATTGTGTTTTAATTTGTTCTGCAGGCGTTATAGACCTTGAAACTATTTGAGTATTTAGTGGACTTAATATTTCACTAGTAGTGTAGGTTTCAGAATTTGTTTTTAAGTTATTCAATTTAGTAACATCAAGAGAAAGGAGAGAGTTTTGACTTTGTATTGTTATATCTTCTGGCTTGGTATAATATAAGAAATCTCCGTTATTAAATGGAGTTGAAGGTAGAACAGGTTGAATATTTGGAAACTGGTTATTGAAATTATTAATTACAGGTACTAAATCAGAAAATTTAGTATTTAAAGCTATTTTTGACTCGGAAATTGTATTACTAGTTGTTGGAACTGCATATGAAATGGGGTTAATATTCTCGATTGATATTTTCTCGTTACTTAATATTCCTGATGCTGATTTTACTGAAGCATAAGGGATAAAAGTATTAGCGTTTGAATCAGTTTGAAGTAAATCTACTAATGGGTGACTAATAAAATCATTATTGTGATTCGTTACATATTTTAAGTTATTATTGACTAAAGGATTAATTATATTTCTTTGATAGTTATCGTTTTGAAAATAGTGCAGGTCGTTATAATTAAGAAGAATATTGTCCATAGGAGATTTAATATTAATATTAGTGTTCTGTCGCTCATCATTAAAATTAGAAATACCTTTTGTATTACTCTCTGATGGAAATGCTATAATATTGACTGTTTCTTTAAGTACTTTATTGTCTGGTACATATTTTATATTACTGATGATGGGTTCTGCGTTTATTGTGTTCACAAGGTTATTCGCTACCTTTGGTGAAACTTTACTATTAAGGTTTAATGTCGGAGTTTTAACTTCGTTTTGCCCCTTGGATTGGTAATATTTTAACATTCGAATGCTATTTAAGTACTTCTTTATATTATCCTTAACGATGGGATTATTATTATCATTTGAAACTTTTTTATTGGTACTAGGGTTTTGACAATTAACGTCAGTATATGGTAAAGATTCCAAATTATATAAATTGTTTACTTGATTTTGGTTAATGGCACTTGCTTCTATTCTTATTATATCTAAATTTTCATTTGTAATTTCGGGTAGGTAATAATTGATGATGCTATTTTTGCATCTTATAAGGTTATCTGGATTATAATCATTTTCAGTTCTTTCGAGTGACTGTACTTCGTATAAGGTGTTTTGTTGATTCACACTTTCAGTGAATAAAGTTGATGCACTATTATCATTTACAATATTTGTCATATATTCAATGGGTCTGTAAGATTTATTAACAGTTGTTTCTTTTAATGCACTTATTCCATCGTTAATATTGTTGCTATTTGTTTGAACTTCATTCGGTGTGTTGGTATACATAAAATACGGTACTGAAAAAGCACCAATATCTTTTACATCTTCTACGCTTTTCTCCTTTTTCGTTTCAACTGCGTTAGTTGAGATTACTGGTATTATTGCTTCTCCATTATAGCTGCTCATATAATATGTATTTGCATTTTGTACTCCATTAGGGCTGCTTTGTTTATAGTCATCAGATGAAGCAAATATTGCTTCTATGAAATTGTTGTTCTCTGTGATAGTTCCAATCTCATATTCTAAAATGTTATTAGCTATGTTTGGACTAGGTAAGTTGTTAGAATTCATCCATGGCATCTTGGAATTTGTTGATAGATTATTTATTTTCATTTTCAGTCCCCTGGCAGAGTAGGTTATCTGAAAATAAAAGAAATACTATTAATTCAACACCATATATCAGTTTAGATTTAAATCAATCTTCAAAAATGCCTTAAATTAAAAAATAATTAACTCCCGAAATTTTAAAAGATTGTTCTATAATTGTATAAAAAAAAATCAAAAATATTTTTTCTGTCTAGGGTGTTACAAGCACTTGTGAAAGTCGAGAGCTCCGCCATCGGTTCGTTAATCTACGGCGCGAGACCTTCTCGGCAAAGGCTGCTTTTTCTCTTTGTTTTATTTCATGCAGAGCGTCAAAATTGAAAAATGACTTCATTGAAATATGAAGTTACTTTCCATTACAATATTAGAAAATATAAAAGTAAAACATTATTTACGTCAATAGAATCACATGTCTAGTCAAAAAAGCTCACCGATAAATAATTTAATTTACATAAAAATAAGCCATATTTAACACAAAGCAAATTTGTCGTTTAAATATTCATTAACAGTATAATATCTTTAACTGAGTAGACAGTTCTTAATACCTATGGGTTTTAAATTTAGGTAAGGGTAAGTTTAAAATTTCCATAGAAATTTTGTTTAGTCGTGTATACCTTGACCCATAAATGTTGATAGAACCTTCTTTAGCCTGCATATAGGCAAAACAAGTTTATATTTGTTTCTAATATTAATTATTATGTTTATGTATTAAATTATTATGTACTATGTTTAATGTAATAGTTAATATTTTTTCTAACACAAAGTATACAATTGTATATCAATTGAGAGGCTACTGTTAATATGTCAATTTCTTTGAATTTATATCTAAGCGATGTTCTTGATCCTAATTGATAAATAGCCGTTAGTCATAGTATTGTATCTCCTACCATCCTTACTACTACAATATAATAGGCACTAATAGTTGTGAGGGTAGTAGCCTACAGATGTTTGTAATACAGCTGTGACGTCATTCTCGCGCGGTTGCCCCAATTGTACCGCTTCTATGTTCAGCCACAGCACTGGACCTCGCACGCTCCACACCACAACACAACAATTCCGTACACTGCTGTGTACCAGCAGACATACGTGTGGGGGTGGTAGCCTACAGACGCTTATAACACAGCTGTGACGTCAGTCGGGCGGCCGCTCCCGAAGACGCAGTTGCATCACCTTATGTCTATATTACTACTACTGTGCGACTTCTTGAAGTTGAATGCTTTACCTAAGTTTAGTCTATTAATATTAAATCTTACCTGCCAAACGAGACAAAGTGTTACTATCCTCGAAGACGGTCCCATTGCACATTACAACTGACAAATGTTGCAGTCAAACTCGAAACCTCCTTTTATGTTATCACTAATTCGTAACTTTATTACTAAATAATGCAAGGAAATATATTACAAAAAGTATATAAAAATCTGCGTTACATAATTAAATAAGTAAACAAAATAAGTAAACAGCTTTAAGCGCATAATTTTGTTGCTACCTCTGAACTGGTCTATGTTGTGTTTTCCTTACTTATTACAGAAAAATTACAATTGCACAAATGTGGTCGAAGATTATGGTTTAAATGTATCTCCATTCATTTTTTTTATTAACGCAGTCTACTAGACTGGCGTTTATTTTGTGACTCTACTTCATTATTTTAAAATAATACATATTACAAAAATGTATAGTAGGTAAAATTAATTCCGAGAGGAGCTCCCATAATGAGACTTGTGTTTTGCCTAGAAGTTATGACGACAAATAGTTTAGAAAATAAAATTGTATTGCATTAAAATTATTGCTACATACACATGCCGCTATCTAATTGATATCTTGTAAAAAAGTTAAGGTTTTTAGTTGAGAAATTGCTTCATTTTTGTATTATACTTACGTAAGGATTTTGAAATTAAAATAACAATATTTTTTATCAACTTTAAACGTACGGGAGTGTGTCATGACAGTTTTTTTATTTAATGTACAGTCAACAGCACCTCAGGTTATACATATCTGTCAAACTTCTTCACTAAGTTTAAACCTTAATAGTTTGGATGTAGTTTAAAATCTACTGGAGAAATTTGACACATTGTGGTAGTCTAATATGCAACCGTGTGTATTTCATAAAAATATAAGCATTCCGCACATTTTCCATTTTTCATATCTTGGGGTTCAAAGGGCGTATAATCACCATTATCTCGAAAACGGATTTAAAATGCCATCTTATAAAGATTTTTCAGCTTTACCGAATTATATTTTTAAGGTTCTCAAATTTTGAAAACAATGGTCAATACGTCATCAAAATTTTGAGGTTGATAATGCAAGACGTGAAGTCATCAAAATATAAGACGAAACTACACTCTCAAAAAAAAAATCAGCGTAACCCATATTAAGTATACCAACTAGTTGTCATGACAAAGTTGTCATTTAATGGAGCGTAAAAAACATACATGTTTGATTTGGTGAGATGTATTAACCAGTTAACTTTAAATTATAAATATTAACCACTTTTGGTGTCAGAATCACATTATAGAATCAATAAAACAAACTAGAAATTTGTGACATAAATAAAATTTAAAATTTAGTTTTTGGTTCTCCTGAAAAGTCAAGATTTGGTGATTACGTCTTTTCACCGTAAAGTATTGATTAAACATTAGCTATCGCAAAAGTTTTGATTGAAGTATTTTTTTTCTCTGTTAGCTATTACATATGCATTTATCGTTTATTTTAATCTCCATATCACCTTAACGTTGACTGGCAGAGAATGCCAAAGGCATTTAGTCTGCCTTTGTACCGTTGTGCATAAAGAATTAATTAAATAAATGAATATACTGATAATAAATAACTGAATTGAGTAGCTAGTTAAAATAAATATATTTATAACTCAGTTTTAGCACAAAATTCAAAATAAACCCAAATCAAAAATGTATATTTTAGCGCCACAAGCGGAGTCAGTCGATTCGAATGATTATAATCATCAGACTATTAATATCTTAACTGCGGGAGATCTACATCACACGGGTCCATTGCGGATTGTTAGGTGTTAACAACTGTAGATGCAGCCTGGATCAACTGTTTAACGTGCTTTCTGAATCATGGAAGAGCTTTAGATTATAATTTTTTTGTCACCCATCCTATAACCGGCCTTTCAAGGCGAAACCACTGTTCTATTGAGTTCCTTGACTCAATAAAACTTGGATAGAAATAAGTATTTTACTTCATTTTGTAAGCACTCGACATTTAAAAGCAGTGAGCTTTATTATAGGTAGATGTTATTACCGTACTTTAGATTTAACTTGTTAGAGTTCGATTCAAGTTTAAAAGAAGTTAAATTTTCTTTTCCAATAGTAGTTATTTTTTCCATAAACTTTTTCATTATCCATTAATTATAAATAGATTTTGCCAGTTTCTCTTCCGGAATCAGAATACTTTTAAATAACTTTAAAAAAGTTTCGTAAAATTTTTAAACAGTTATTTCAATTGTTTAGATGTCACTTTTTAACAAAGAGGAAGTATTTAAAAAAAGAAAGCACTAAAATAGCACCTCCACTAGATGGCGACTCTAGCAAAAGTTGATTTTTGCAGGAAACAAATGGACCAAATCTAGTCATTTCCGTTCCTTTTTTTTTTTGGGATAGGGGGCAGACGAGCAGACGGATCACCTGTGATAAGTGTGTGGTAAGTGATACCGTCGCCCATGGACACCTGCAAGACCAGAGGGGCTACAAGCGCGCTGCCGGCCTTTGAAGGACGAATATGATAATAGGGAGGGAAGGGTTGAGGGGTAGAGGGAAGGGAATAGGGAGGGATTGGGCCTCCGGTCTCACACGACGTGAAGCAACGCAAGCGTTGCTTCACGTCGGTTTTCTGTGAGGCCGTGGTATCACTCCGGTCGAGCCGGCCCATTCATGCCGAAGCGTGGCTCTCCCACGGTCTAAACTAATATATTAAAAAACTGAAATTTGAAAAGTTCGAAACTTAGATATCAATACAAATACGAAAAAGTACAAATGGAATATGAGTTGTTTATTGAGTTTTGAAAACTAATTTACTTTTAAATATGAAAGAAAACCGGAAGGGTTGTCATGGAGAAATCAAGAACGTACCGTAGCGACATCTAGTTTGATTTCGGGAACTATTTTTTTTAAATACTTCCTCATTATTTACCAATACAAAATTAATTTTTTTTTATTTAGTTTATTGGAACAATTAATTTTATATCAACATTTTCAATGATTTACAAAATAAAGCTACTGATCTAAAACCTCATGAAATTTTCGGAATGTATATTTATTTATTTATTTATACTTTATTACACGCAACACTGTACAATTAGAGATTTTCTATCAGTCAACCAGAGAACTATGCACAGATAGGATGTGTGGCGGCATATAGAATAAGTCAGGTAAAGGGTGAAACAATTACATCATAAAAAAGCCAACGCTTACACTGTCTGAAAAAACTACTACAATGCATAACTCAAATCAAACTAAAAAATAGCAACCAACGCTGGCCCCTCTCAATTTCCCAACACGGCTAGTCACCGCGGGAGATTTAGACTACAACCCTCCAACGTGCCAAAAACTATACATCTGCACATATAATGTAAAGTCACTACTATCACCACAAAGAATGATATTGCTAAAACATTCTCTGGAAAAAATAAAATATGACATTATAGGCCTTGCAGAGGTAAGAAGAGACGGTAACAATATTCTAGAGGATGAAAATCATATTTTCTGTCACACCGGGCAGTCGAAAGGGCTAAATGGAGTCGGATTCATTATTAAGAAAAAATACAAAAATAATATAGATAACTACATAGGTATGTCAGAAAGAGTATGTTTGCTAAATTTAGACTTTGGATTGATAAAGCTTTCAATTATTCAAGTTTACGCCCCTACCTCAGATGCAACCGAGGAAGAGGTTGACGAGTTCTACAACCTGTTAGAAAGCGCTCGGAGCTTATCAACGGGTAGAGTAATAATATTAGGAGATCTAAACGCCAAAATAGGCCAGAGAAATCCCGAAGAAAACATGATCATAGGACCATCTTGCTATGGTAAAAGGAACCAAAGAGGTGAAAAACTTGTACAATATGCGCTCAAAAATAAATTTACAATAATCAATACAATATTCAAGAAAAACAAAAAGAACTTATGGACATGGATTACACCAGATCAACGAAACAAAAATCAAATTGATTACATTTTGTGCAACAATCCAAGACTCTTTAGCAATATAGAAATAATAAACAAAATGTCTTTTCCCAGCGACCACAGACTCATTAGAGGAACAATAACACTAGACAAACAAAAGAAATCTAGAAGAACATTCGATTCTATCCCAGTTATCAACTTATCAAGCAAGGAATCGCAAGAAATATATTTATATAACCTAAGCACAAAACTAGAGTACGTAGTCTGGGATAAAAACGACGATTTAGAGTCCTATTACACCAAGATAGAATATGCCATACAAGAAAGTCTAAAGAAATCAACATCTATAAAAACAAAGAAAGAAATAATATCTGAAGAATCTAAAAACTTAATTATGAAGCGCAAGACTCTACAATACAAACCCTCAAAAGACAAGGAAGATAAAAAGGAACTCTCAGGACTTTACAAAACCACAAACAAATTACTAAAAAGAGACTACGAAAAATATAGAATGGGAATAATTGAAAAGCATCTAATAAATACGGGAAGTCAAAAGAGAGCATATAAACAGTTAAAAACAGAAAAAACCTGGATCCCTACGCTCAATTCCAAAAAATCGGGACAGAAGCCACTTACAAGAAAAGATTTGGTTAATATTGCTTCTGAATTTTATGAGAAATTATATGAAGATAAACAAATAAAAAGTAACTGTTACAAAAAAACTTTACAATCGATAGGCACGAACACAGCAATCCAACTCTTTGATGGTGACGAAATTATGGACAAAATCCAGAAACTGAAAATGGAAAAGAGCCCAGGCGAAGACAACATCCCAAATGAAGCTTTAATAATCGGAAAGTACACATTAATAGAGCCAATCACTACTCTTTTCAATAAAATACTTGAAAAACAGGAAGTACCTTCTACGTGGACAAAGTCACGAATAATCCTTATTTATAAAAAGGGAGACCCAGCAGACATCAATAACTACCGACCAATCAGCTTACTACCAACAATGTATAAATTATTTGCAATGTGTCTGGAAACACGGATAGAGTTAACCCTAGAAAAAAGACAACCAGTGGAACAGGCCGGTTTTCGCCGCGGATATTCAACAGTCGATCAAATACACACAGTAGAGCAAATAATAGAGAAATATGAAGAATACAAGAAACATCTTTACCTCGGCTTTGTTGATTACGCTAAAGCGTTCGACTCTATCTCACATGAGAGCGTATGGGAAACACTAGAGCACCAAAACCTCCCATACCCATACATCAATATAATTAAAGACATTTACAGAAATAGCACAAGTCGTGTTAAACTGGATAGACTGGGCCCTGAATTCAAAATAAGTAGAGGCGTGAAACAAGGAGATCCACTGTCACCTAGGATTTTTTATAGCTATACTGCATCATATAATGGAAAAACTAGAATGGGATAAAAAAGGAATACCCATTGATGGGAAGTACCTGAGCAACCTAAGATTCGCTGACGACATAGTCCTGTTTGCTAAGTCATCAAAGCAGCTAGAAGCTATGCTGACAGAACTAAGCAACGTTAGCAAAAACATCGGCCTACTACTTAACACTTCAAAAACAAAGGTATGTATGTACCAATGGCGAGAAAACCCCCATCCTAATAAATCAAAAGCCTGTTGAGTACGTGGACAGCTATAATTATCTAGGAAAACAAATATCTTTCAAAAGTTCAAGACATATAGATGAACTAGATAGACGAATAAATATTACTTGGAAAAAATACTGGAGTCTCAAAGAAATAATGAAATCCAAACTTTCAGTTTCCCTTAAGAAAAAAGTTATGGATTCCAGTCTACTACCCTGCCTATCGTATGGAGCCCAAACCTGGATATTCAATCATAAAACAATGTCAAAAATTCGTTCGTGCCAGCGGGCTATGGAGAGAAGCATGCTTGGTATTAAGATCACAGATAAACAAAATAGCAATAACATAAGACAAAAAACCCAAGTAATAGATGCATTACAACATACACGACGTCTGAAGTGGAGATGGGCCGGACATATGGCCCGTTATTCTAGAGACAGATGGCCAAATCGCGTCACCAAATGGCACGGTCCGTGCGGTAAAAGACAACAAGGCAGACCTAGAGTTCGTTGGAATGACGACATAGTAAAATTAGTGGGAGGGGACTGGATGGACGTCGCGAAAGACAAGGACAGATGGAGGCACCTGGAGGAGGCCTATACCCGTAAGGGGCCATGACAATGTTTAAAAATATTGTTTTTCCTTTTTTTACAAATATTCATTTTGTTACCATGTTATGGAAATAAAGAGGCTTATTATTATTATTATTATTAAAGGGTGATGTGTATAAACCAGGCACAGGAAATGCATATACCATATTTATATTAAAATTATTTTCATCTCCAGTATGCATTTACTCTAACATGTAAATGATAATATATTACACTAGCTGTTTTTCCGCGGCTTCGCACACATAAATTATGTAAACTCTGTATGATGTAGCTACCCGCAAGTGAATATTAATTTTTAATATCGATTCAGTGGTTTCCGAGCTTATTCGATGCAAACAAACAAAGAATAAAATCTTTCCTCTTTATAATATCAGTATAGATAAACAATACTTATACATGCATTGATAAATCATATACAGTTGGAACAACTGTCAGATTATAAGGAAGCACTTGAGGTTTTAATAGATAATTGTGGACTAAATGTTAGAAAGTTTCACGCGTTCAATATAGTACCTACGTTTAGTCGCTGGCTTGGCAGCGGCGGATCCAGACCTCAAAAAAGGTTGTTATTATTCTAAGGGTCACAGACACTCGAAAACATGCCAGTCGGAGTATGATCTTTTGCTACTCAAAATAGTGTAGGTATTCCTGGAAAGGAGATGTGTACCAAAATGTATGACGCCGTGATTACGAGAACAGTGTAGTTTTGCGAGGGTAATCAACTACAATAGACCATGAAAATATGCCCATAACGGTAAATCCGCCCTTGTGGCTTGGTCAGGCAACTTGTTTACAGATCTTTTACAGAATACGTAGTAATTTGAGCGTTGTTGTGTAAAACTATCGAATTTACGATGCCATAGAAAACGAGCATTAACTATGGTAGGTATGTTTGAATAATGAAAAAATAATTTTATTTACATTAATAATAACTTTATTTAAAACTGACTACGAAACAACTTACAATACATATCCATATCCTGGTAGTGCTATTGGTGCACCGATTCCAGGCACTATAACATCAGAACCCATATAAGGTAATGTGTTACTGAGAAGGTTACTGACAATCAACAGCTGCAAGGCATTTGCCAAGTTATTTGCGACCGTACTATCTTGAATTATGGTTGTAGTTGCTGGCACGGTGATTGGCGGTGACAGACCTAAAGGTATTTCGTAATTAATAAGGTTTTGCGCGACTGGATACAAGTTTGGGTTGAATATTACTTGGTTAGGTAGAATCGTTTCGGTGATTGGTAAAAGGTTAGGTGCAATGCCACCTCTTACTACTTGACTGTGGACGGCCTGAAAAAGGAAAAAAAAAGTAAAAATGGCGGAAAAATACCTAAGATATATTGGAGGTTTTAAAAAAAGAAATTTTAATGCTATATTTGAGTGTTAGTGAAATATAATGATGCCAAAAAAAACTGTATGAAATAAACTATGCACTTATTATAACATAGCTTTCAGCATTCACTACAAAGAATCTTTGTTGGTAACAATATGAATGATATCTAAAGATTATTTTATTGGTGCCTGAGTAAATAAGTTTTCTTTTTATTTTAAAAAGTAAACAAGCTTAATTTTGTTTAATGATGTCATTTTGAAAACTTAATCACATAATATTTTTTAATATACTTACGTTAATAAAGACAAACGTGCAAAGAGCAACAAAGATTTTGGCGGCCATTTTTAGATGTTTTAGTTCCAATACTAGGAAACGATTGCTAATGATTTTCTTGAGGAAGCATGTAGTGTTTATATAGTCATATATTATCATAAAGTCGGTTAAATCTGATTGTGTTACAAAGTTTAAATTTCATAATTTATGTTATCAATAGATTTTTACTATAACACGTTTTGATTTGTTGAAATAGGAGTGATAAGAAAGGATAAACAATGTTTTTTTTTCTATCATTTTAGTTAATTATCACATAAAATTCTACAGATAATTCTTATGATTCTGTAGACGTCCCTAATTAGATATACTCTGAATGTTATTGTCTTGGATGTCTGTCTAATATTGAACTTTATTGTATAGAATACAGTAAAATACGTTTGTTTATTATTGTATTAATTCATTTTTAAAGGGCTAGTTATAGTTTCATACGGAATTGTAGTTAGAGTGACCTACAAGATCTTCTACCTATGGGGTTGATATATCCATATGGATAAAAACCCCAAATAAAATTCAAGAATAAAAAAAGAAAAAAGATCTTCTACCTGTGTTATGACTCGCCGCCATAATTAAAGTCTTATGAAGTGCTATTAAAAAACAATGTTTAGCGTCAGAGTAAATTTACGCTAAAATTGCAGTTTTAATATTAGTCAAAATTTATAATATACAGAGAATAAGTAAACCTATTACCTTCTTGGAGTAAATGTTATTTACGTAGAACTACGTACTAGGTTAACCTTTGCCAAATCTCTGTTTAATAATATGAATTTTGACTAAAACTAAGTGAAGCCTCAGCGTAAATTTACTCCAACGATAAACCTTGTTTATTAATAACATTGTTATTGTATTATTATGGTGCTCCTGGTTTTTAAGTATTATTAATGTGTTTTCTTCTTTAAATAAATAATCACATAAATAGCATATGTCGTCTTAAACATGTAGGTTCTATAAAATATAATTGTGTTAAGGAAAACTGACATAATGACGTTATATAACACCAGATCTTTCAGAGACAATTTACATAATTATTATATTGATAAAATTTTGAATTCACAATGCCACATTATTGATTTCTGTAAGACTAGTATCGAACCCGGAAACTGGCGACAATTCGAGAGCAGCGCACGAGTCAGTAAGCCAAGAGTTTCTTTACTTAATGAAGGAAAATGCATTTCAAATACCCACAGTCAACCATGCAGCTGGTGAGGTTACGTGGAATTATCGAGAGCAGATCTTGAAGAGGATGTTAAATAGCAGGGATTTTAATGGTGCGTCTTTTATTATTCTTTATTTTTTGTCCGGAGTTAAGAATCTGAAAGATAATATCAACAATCTATTGTTGTCTTGTAACTAAAAAATAGTAACATAAATAAAATACCTACAGTGCCGCAGTTTGTTAATCTTCAACCCTTTAATATGACCGTTGAGATTTCTCAAAACATCTTCAAGGCTATACCTACTTAAAAATAGTGTATGTCGATAAAATTATGTCAAAATATTAATCTATAATATAAAGATATACTGATATTGATTACGTAACTTTTTTTACAACTTTTAGTATGTTACAAAAATATAATTTACTGTAAGATAAGAAAAAATATATTAGTTAGTGGAACTAAATTATTAATTTATTTTGTTAATATTATCAGTGACGATGGGTCGGAGAGTTTTAAGTTCACTTATAACTATAGCTATGGCCACACAGGTATTCTTTTATTTGTTATTATTTTGTCTGTATATTTAACCCAATCGGTAGTGAAAAAACCATAAAAAAATTAGGAATAAAAATATTATAGTTAATAACAAGTCAGATTACAATTCTTTAATTATCTCACACTTGAATTAAAATATGAATGTTTAATGATTCATAATTGATTGCGGAATTTTGGGTACTTTGACCAATTTCCTTTTTATTTTAATGACTGTTTTCTTTAAGAATAATAAATTTTGATTATAGTGACAAATTATTAATGTATTGAAGTGCAGGGTTTGCTTTATTTTAGTTTTCAAATCAGCTTATAGAGAAAACAGATTAAATATTTTTACCTTATAGATGATATAGAAAATAGAAACAAAAGTAGATAATGATAATAATACTTTATATTAATAACTGCAATGCTACTCTATTAAAAAAATCGTCTCCATGTCGCAAAGCATTTCAAGCAAATAAAACCTTCTTCAAAGTTTATAAAATATTTAATTTCGAAGTTATATGCTGTTACAGCGCTGACGTCGAGTTTGACTTTTTTAAAGAGAAAAGCATTGTCGGTTATATTGACAAATATTATTCTAAAAGTTAAAGTTAGAAGTAGCGTGTTACCTACGTATCATTTAATATTAAATTATTTTCTATTATGTTTTCTTTTTTTCCAAACAGGTCTTAGCAGTCAACTTCCATCCACTTGTGAAACAATATCTACAAATGGCTGGACTCGGGACGACTCAACCACAAACAATCGTCAAAAGTTTACCGGCTGCAATCGGAAAACAACCACCTAATCTACAAACATTGACTGCTTTAGCTAATATGTTAACATCTTATCCAGGAAACGTCAACGGAAGAACGTTAACACCATCCAACATTTTAACATCACTAACTTCTGATGCTTATTTAAGTAAATATCCAAATCCTAGTGATTTTCCACCTGTGTCATTCTTAGAATCTTTATATGGAACAACTGCCAGTTCTCAGTCTTCAGATGCATCGTTAGTAAACAGTTTAGTTTTAGCTTTATTGATATTAAGCAACTTATTAAACTTACCCCCAGAATCTTCTCCTGAAGCAAATGTCACAGCTTATCCTCTATATGAAAAATCTGAACCTATTAAACCAATTTCAGTATCATACGCGCACCCTCCAAGTCAAGCAGTTGTAACTTCATTGCCGAACCAATCTCAATCTTCATCTCAAAGTAATACAGCTTCATCTCATAATGCATACTATAGTTACGAGCAAAATCATGCGAAACAAAATTATGAATCTCAGAGCTATGCCGTACCAGCAAATTACGATGCCCAGAGTAATGCGATGCCAAATTCAAACTTCCTTGGGTCTTCATCGTTTCTTGATTTTAATCCTTTGATGAGTTCTGTTCCTGTACCTTCGTCTGGTCATAGAAATGGTTTATCATTAATGTCTCCTTACGAAGCGTTAAGCCCGAGTTCTCCTTTCTCAGATTCTATCCTTTCATCACCATATGGTATGTCAATGAATTCGAAACTTCAATCACCATATTCCATGCTGTCTGAAACTAAGGACGTGTTGAATTTTAGCGATTTCTTTTGATTTTATTTTATATTGTTATTGATTCTGCAGATAGGTTGCCAGTTCATGTGCATTATTTATTTTTACGTGCAAATTGTTATTAAATTTTTGTTATAATTCACTATTGCATTTTATTATTAAACATTAAACAACACATCAAGTTCACTACAAATGACCGAATTTATGCAATAAATTTGTACTTAATTTAATATTAAGTCCTAAAATGACTTAGAAAAAAATTTGGTATTTGCAATAGCGTTTGCACCTTGATAAAAAAATACGCGTTACATTGTTATGTGAATATTATAAATGACAAATAATGCATGTCCATAAGTTAGGTATTCAATGAAAACGCAAAACAATAAAAGCTACGTAAACCTCTGCACCACGCACATTTGAAATGACATTTATCAGCCCAGAATAAGAGGAAGGAATTAAAGAAGCTTATTTTAGGAGTGATGATTATGGTTCTATGTGAAATTATTTTGCTCTATTACTATGAATGTAGACTGAAGTCAATAAATAATTTCGGAAAGTCTCAATTTTCAATATGTAAATAATAGATAGTTAATAGATAGGTATTTACATAATACAAATTGAGACTTTTCCTAAAATTGAGACTTTCCTTAATGTAAAAGAGTATTTATCTTAAAATATTTTGTTTTAAGCTTTTACTGTCATTTATATAGGATTGCTACTATGTACCTATGGTCACGGAGTAACTCCGTTTCGGCGCTGTTGCAAAGGCCGTGATCACGATAACTCTACATTAACTCCGCTTGCAACAGCGCCGAAATATCTGGAACTCAAAAAAAACCGCCAAGTATGACTCGGACTCGCACAAGCATAAAAATTACGTTTGTTGTATGGGAGTGGTCACAGGGGACTCCCCCGGGCTGGGACCTAGGTGGACTACTAATTAAAATTGATTTATGTAATGTTTTTATATATTTTTTGTCCCAATATAGATTTTATTCAAGTACTTTCAATATTTCATAAATTTAATATGAGACAGTGTATCTATTTATTATCAAAATTAACTTCATATGACTTGACCATTATGTGACCTGCCCCTTGGCGCCAAAGCTGGATCCACCCTTGACGAGCCCCTCAATCAACAGGTCCACGTGCGGGATGAGTTTAGAATCCATTATCTGCGAGAAAGAATTAGATATGCTCATAAATATAAGCAAAACCTAAAAGCCATCAACCACGAGTTGACGTCTAACACGGTGCATAGGTAAGTATATTGGCTGCAGCTCAAACGCAAGATGGGCAACATAATGTCATTATTATATGTAGTAAGAAGACACGAAGTACATGGGCCCTACGGCGCCGTTTTGCTACATAAAATAAAAATGTTTATTAGTATAAGTTTTTGTTTTCTTTCAAAGGACATTTATCCACTCTACAAAATTATGCATGGGACATATATATCTACCGCTTTCGAAGCATATTTATTTCCTTTTTTCCAGTTTTAATTTTACTTAAATTAAACTATTTATGTAATTATTAATTACTCTAAAAAACAATACAAGTCGATCAAATAAAAAACCAAGGATATAAACATTGTGAAAATAATACATTGTTTGTATGTGCAGCGGGGAAGTAAAAGGCCTTATGATGATGACGATGACGAGGAAGAGTATTGGATTATAAGATAGGGATTGTTCTGTGGAATTTTTGTAATCTAAAAGGATTTTGGTAGTCGTGTTTTTAATTATTTATTTTATTTCATTTAGTGAACATTTAATTATGTATACAAGCTATGTATTTTTGGAGTGTGACCTTTAATTTGATACCCATATTGCTAGAAGAAAAAATAAATATCTTCATATTTTATTAAATCACGTCGAACATCCGCCATGTTGAATTTTAAAAAATATATAGCCGGTGACACTCGGGATGATGTACTTAACATTTTTAATGTTATCCTATACTTTCACATTCGGTAAGTATTTCAAAAGTTAATGTAGAATAAAGTCAATTCACTTTATTAACCCTAAGCGTAAAATATCTACACAATATACAATCCTTTTTGGGCAGTCAAGTAAAAAGTTGGGCGTATATCTTGGATATACCCTATTAATACCATTTTGTAGAGGAGTATTTATAAAGTTTTTTGATTAGAAGACAACAACGGATCAAGCTGAAATTTAAGTTAAACTTAGCCATCTTTTTTTCGGCTAATTTTAGAAAAAATATATTATGTCGGGGATGTGGGTTCAAAAAGGATTTTAAAACCTCTATAAAGAATGTCAAACAATAAAAAAACTTTTTTATAAATATTATGTATTTACAATAAATAAATAAATAATTCATAAACAACTATGCTAAAGGGCGACATTTCTGAATCCAAAATTGTAGTTATTCAAAATGGCCGAGGAATCTGTAAACACTTTCCCGCCAATATTCCTTTTAACTCTAGGTATATTAGTTATAGTGTTGGGAATAACACTAGCTTGTATCATCTTCGAAACGATATTGGGAGCTATGTACGATTTCGATTGGCTGTTAACATTGACTATAGGGCAAAGGGGACATTTACTCATAGACTTTTTAATATCATTTACTAAAGGCGCAAAGATAGGCATATTACTATTGCTGCGGAATTTTTCGAACACCATATTCTGTATTTGTGATGCAAGATTTTTACAAGTCAAATCATTTTCTGAGACTGACAACGGTATATTAGGTGAAGAGTATCTTTCAATGATCGTCTCAGCGTATAATTGAGGGAATTTGAAGGACTGTACAGCTCGTTGAGATGTCGCGACCTGTAAATTATAATACGTTAAACCGACTGACTAATTTACTTTTTTTATACAACAAAAGTAATCAAAGCAGATTTCTTCACATAAGTTGAACTCTGTGTAGTAGAATTCAAATGGGAACTCTATTACTAAGACTCCGCTCTCCGTCAGCCTGACTCTCCGACTTTCTTCAGACTATATCCTTTAAACCGTGATAGTTAGATAGTTAAAATTTTCACCTAATGATGTATTACTACTGCCGCTATAATCACAAATACTAGAAAGAGAATAAGATAAATATTAAAGCGCTCCCATACGAGAAACGTGATTTTTTTTTGCTCGTTCCCGGTTCGGAATCTTTCTGCGTGAGTGAAGACTCGCACTTAGCCAGTTTTTTTTTAGTTCAACTTATGTGCAGCGTACTATACTCTGCTTTTTATAAGAAAATACTATTTATAAAAAGTAAAAATAAGTCGTCCGTTGTAGTTTTATTACGTTAAGATAGTATAAATAATTTCTTAAACTCACATTTATGACAATAGTTAAAATAATTGAAAGCTTTCTAAACATTGTAAATAATCGATATTTGATTAGTTAAACTGTTTTTAATAAAGATACTCAGCTGTTTATATATCGATATAATAAAATGATTCTAATCGAAAACGATAAAATGTTATCTCTTATGCGTGACTTATCATCAGAATGTATTGGTAAGTTTTATAGTTAATTTTATGCGTAACTTGAATCTTTCTTCACTTCAGTATTAAGTAATTAATATATAATTTGGTAATATTTTTTTAAAAAGCAATACTGAAATAAAATTCTCTATCAGTTATGTAACATAAAAAAAAACAAATAATTATAATGCTACATTTGTTGTTTGCTCTAAACTAGTTTTAAGGACAAAGCTCTTAATTTTTTCTTCTTTTCGAAATTTTTACTTTTTTTTTTTTTTTTTTTTTTTTTTACTTTATTGGATCAACAAACAGTTTCACAATAAAATTACTTGAACCAGCAACAAATTAATTACATATATCTTGTGATTGTGAAACCAACACCGTTGACCACAAGTAGCTAAGTACATTTCACATAGTAGTTGAGAGCAACAATAAAGTCAAACATTATTTAGTTTGTGGAATGAGTTTTCAAACTATATACGAGTGCGACGCGGTGTTAATTTCAGGCTACCAATTCCTCAATGATACATTTCTTATAAGATTGCATATTATGATTGAAAATATCAATATTTACAAAATATTTATTATATGTGTCGGCGAGACGATACAAGGGCGAGCGTTTACCAGAGTTGTTGCGGCATTTTTTAGTAGAAAATAATTTAAGTTTGCGGCATGCTCGTTTGCGTGGTCTAACCGGCACCTGATAACATATTCTATTAATTATAGCAGAGCAATCATATTTGTTATGACAAAGATCATATAACATCATGGCGTGCAATTGCAATCTTCTGGATTTAAGTGTGAGAATCTTGTAATTCTTAAGAAGTTGGCAGTAGGACAATTTACTATGATGGTATTTATAATGTATATGGCGTAAGAATTTCTTTTGCACTTTCTCAAGAATATCGGAGTATTTGTTATAGTATGGATCCCATATAGAAGTGGCGTATTCCAGCTGAGAACGTATTAAAGATTTATATAATAGAATACAAGTACTTGACCTTTTAAAATTATTACTAGCACGAACAACACAACTATACATTTTAAAAGCCCTATTACATACATGTTCGATATGTCTATCTAATGATAATTTTGTGTCTAGGATGATCCCAAGATCCCGTATACTCGATACACTATCAATATTGACACCGCATAAATAATATGTAACCCTGCTTACTTGTTTTTTTCGAGAAAAAGTAATGCTAGTACATTTTTTTAAATTAAGTTCTAATTTATTATTATAACAGTAGTCTGAGAATCGATCGAGATCTTCCTGAAATTTATGGTGATCAGAAACATCATTAATGATACGATACATTTTGAGGTCATCTGCATATAGAAGGAAATTACAGTACTTGAAACATTTACTTATGTCATTAATGAAGAGAACGAAGAGCAAAGGGCCGAGGATCGAGCCTTGAGGAACGCCTGATGTTATAGCAATAGTGTCCGACTCATACCCGTTTATAATTACTTTTTGCGTTCGATTCGTTATATATGATCTGAACCACCGCCACAGATTACCCCTGATTCCGTTAAAAGCAATTTTCTCCAGTAATATTCTATGATCCACCCTGTCAAAGGCTTTTTTGAAGTCGGTGTATACACTGTCAGTTTGTTTGTTATCATCAATATTTTCAAACAGATCAGTTGTATATGCTAACAGGTTAGTGGTGGTAGATCTTTTATGCACAAAACCATGCTGTTGAGGTAATATAGTATAGTGGAGAATTGGATACACCTCATTATGAATTAACCTCTCAAAGAGCTTAGAAAGAACTGGTAGAATTGAAATTGGCCTATAATTAGTTACATCTTTTTTAAAACCTCCTTTATGTACCGGTGTAATTCTTGCAGACTTCCAAACTTTTGGACAAACTCCCTCAGACAGACATTTATTATATAGTACACACAATGGCTTACAGATACTTGAAGCAATGTTCTTAAGGAAAATAGGGGGAATACAATCAGTTCCAGGTCCCTTATTGGTGTCTAATCTTTCCAATCCCTTGAGTACATTGTGTTCTTTCAATACAATATCACTAATTATATTATCGGTTTGCGTATTTATATCCAGATCATATATATCTTCAACCGCAAAGGTATCTGACTCGTTAGATAATTGAAATACTGATTGAAAAAATTTAGAGAACATATTGCATATGTCGCCTGGCTTATCAGTTATACTACCATTATAGATGACAGTGCCGGGTATATCAGATTTATTTCTGCGGTGCTTCATATATGTCCAAAAGTAGTTAACATTATCTTTAATGCTATCCTCGACCTTATTCATGTATTTATGATAGCATTTGTCGGCCTCATTTTTAAATCTTTTCCTAAACATGGAGAATGTTATATAATCAGACCGATTCCCATACTTTTTCCATTTTATCCATGCTGTGTTTTTATTTTTAAATATATGTTTTAGCGCCGGGGTAAACCAGACTGGGAAATGTGAATGAGAGATAATCTTAGTAGGAATATGTTTTTTAATTATATCACGTATATGATTATAGAAAATCTCAGTACATAATTCCGAACTTTTGCGATGAAATACGGAATGCCAATTAATTTGTAATAAATCATTATTAATCAGTTCATAATTAGCCTTTCCAAAACAGTACTTAATATGCTTCTTAAGTGGGAGACATTTGTCTACCTGGTTTAAAGTAAATAATGTATAAAAGGGAGGGTGATATTTATCTATATTAACTAATGCATTTGTTACTGGAAAAATATTTGTGTTTGGTATATTGGTTATACATAGGTCGAGTATTCGATGTAGATTATTTTTGAATTTGTTGATTTGTATGCAATTTAATGTACTGATAAGATCTATCAAGTTTGAATAAGGAGATTTTAAATTGTCTTTATTCGCAAGTTTCATTAGGGAGTCCTCTTCATACCAGTCAAGATTAGGTAGGTTAAAGTCACCAACTATGAAAAAGTTCCCAGTGTCTATTGTTTGCATACAGTATCGCAATGTGTTAAAGTATGCAATATAATCGACGGTGTCCGTTTTGGGGGGGATATAAACAGCGCTTATAATGAGTAGCGAATTACCTATCTTTAATTCCACTAGCACATGGTCTATTATATGAGGTATTACAAAGGGTGCGGCAAAGGGAGAGGGGGAACAGAGTGCAGAACTGAGCGTACGCAATACGGCCACCAGTACGCCACCGCCGTCTTGGCGGCCAGTAGCTATACGGTTTCGGTCGCTGCGATATACGATATACCTAGAATCTATAAACTCGTTATTAGTTATGTCTTCATGTAGCCATGTCTCAGTCAGTATGATAATATCGTAAGTATATGATAGAATATTCATGTAAATCGTGTTTAATTTAGTTCTTATGCCGTGGCAATTCTGATAGTAGACTGAGAGTGTAACATTATTTCCTTTATCGAATTGAGTAAATATGTCTATAACCAATGCTAATAAACGAATACAAAGAATCATCCAAGCTAGTTGTTAAATCATTTAACTGGGCATTAGTAAACAAGTTACCATCAAATACCATTACGAAGTTAATCATGCTAGTTTTATTGTATCTAGATTTACCGTGACAATTAAAATAACTATGAAAATATCTCAGTATTGGAGATACATCATTAAGTATATTCAAAGTAATAGAATTATTTACGGCAAAAGTGCTTTTTATAAAATAAATTTTATGGTTCTCACTTATTAAAATGATTATGAATTTGTATTTAGAGTTACGTTTTATAAATATATTTACATATGATTTGAAAACTCCAATATTCGAAAGTGTGCCCAAGATAATAAATAACAATAAACATATAATATCATGCCATTTTATTAAAATATGATAGTTCGTATATACCAATATCCATTTTATACACTTAATACACAATAGACAAATCTGATAAGTAACATGCTTATTATTAAAGTACCTTCTCTTTGAAAGATTATTTAATTTTACCCAAATCGATTTCCGATCGTATGGCCTGCACTGGGGATGTATCCGATTTTCGTACCAGAATGACACCATGTTTAACCCATACGTATTTATAATCATGTAATTTGGCCTTTTCACGACACTCACGAAATAAGCGTTTATTTTGTATGGTTAAGTGTTCATTGATGAAGATTCTTTGTACCGACCCGGAGATACCTAATTGTTCACTACTGATATTCTTCGTAGAACGGCATGCTGCTATTATATTGTCACGAAGTATTCTAGTAGATAATTTTGCAATAATATTTTTGGGCCGTGAATCTTTTTGGTCAGCATGCGGCACTCTGTGTACAGATATAATATCCGATGGGAGTATCTGTTGTTTAATAATCACTCCGAGGTTAGTTATAATATTGCATAGGTTTTCATTACGTCTTTCAGGTAGGTTAACAATTTCAATGTTGCAGTCTCTAGCTTGCTGTTCTATTGCTGCTAATTTGACCTCCAGTATTTGTATATGTTCAGGTAGGGTACTATTTTTCTCCATATGATTTTGTAATGATTGTAGTTGCTTATCGAATGTTTCCTGACGTTCGTTTGAAAAACTTAGAGATTTCTCCATTTCGGCCAAACGTGTATTTATGCTTGTTAACGATTCTTTAAAACTTGTGTTATCTGAGCGCAAACTCATGACGGTATTATTTAACGCATCCAAGGAAGCATTAATCTTTGAAAACTCGGTCAAAATAGTTGATCTTAAAGTTGTATTAATTATCTCAGTGATCTTATTATCGAGATTGCTACTGAATGTATGAAATTGTGAGTCCATTTTCTGCTCCAATAGTTTCATTTGTAGATGTAGATTATCGTCTTCGGGTTGTTTGCGTTTACGGATGTTAATATATAAATCCTCAGCGTGCGCAGATGTAGGTAAATCTGGATTTGATGCACACTTCGGCGGAGTACGAGAGCACATATTTACAGTTTTATGTCACTCGCTCGTTTATTGCAAAAGAAGAGTGAATTAATATTATTCTCTTATAATCAGTGTAGGTAAATCAACTAGTATTCCACTCGCAGTGTTCGATGAACCGATGTAGTCGGTATACGCACTAAAAACGTGTAATCAATATTCCACAATTATAACGCACTTGTCAACTAAATGACACGACCACTCTCAACTCGGCGCAAACGCAAAATGAAAAAAACTACTAAACTACTTTTTAATTATAATAATTAGACTAAACGAGTAAAACCTTTTTTTATTACAGTGCCTGAATTGAAGTTTTAGAATTGAAAAATGTAATACCAGTGGCATTTGAGAGTGAGATTAAAGTTTTATGTGTTTGTTCTTCTGCTTATAATAACGCGTTATTGTTAATAAACCCGCGTAATTATTCCAATAGTCTTATTTTACTACATCTTCAAACAACGATTGATCGTCATCATTTAGGTAAACAATGATAAACTTGTTAGAACATTTGCTGCGATAGAGAATATAGAATGTCAAGACAGTGTAGAATATTGACAGATTAATGAAACAGATGGGTACACACAAAAAATATCCCAGGTCAAATCTTTACTATTATTGAAAATTACTTGAAACCAACTCTCAGCTACAGAATGAATGTTATTCGAGTATTAACCAGATTTTTAGTTTTTTAATTTAGTTTATTTAATTTAGTCTATTTAATAGAAATCTTATGCACTCACATTTGGTTGGATCTTATCAAATATCTCTTAGAGATTGATGTAGTCTTCTAATTTTAGATTATTTTAAGTATTATTTATTTGAATCAAATTTGATTTATTTATTTTAAGTTTAAATTCTTTCATAGGAAGAAAGGATGTAAGTGACAACTTGCATATTGGTCAGTAATTACTTAAAGGTTTGTGTGTTAATAATCCAAACATTTGCTATACCTAGTTTTTCTATATAACCTAGTGCCAGTGATAAGAGTCTTACTGTCACACTTTCCTCGAAATGTTTTTATGTAATTGATTTTGATACGAAATTTCCAATAATTTTAAGTTTCTGTATCTAATCGAATTACATTAAATGCTTTTTTTATTTATTTTTTTACGAAATACGTATTTCAATAGATTTAAATACAAATACGGTATACATATATATATATGGAACTTTAAATTGCTTCTAATTGTTTTCATTAGCAAAATGAGTTGGATATCAAGTATTTTGCTAACAACCTCATTGATTTTGAAGGTAAATATATATATTTTTAAATAATTTTGATAGAATATTATTAGTTATTACATTTGAAATGTATATGCTATAAAGAAGGTATCAACAAAATTTGTACTGATCGATATAATATTGCTAGTACATAGTAGAGTATTATAAAATCTGTGATATCGTCCAATATTGTTGCTTGTATCAATTAGTCTTTCAATTGTCGATACAGTATGTATTTGTAATAAAAAAAATAAAGTGTTTTATACTTTTTTATTCAGATATGTTTTATATCATTCAAGTTTTGTTGTTGTTGTTTATTAAGATTTACAGCATTTAATTTAAAATATTTTTTTTTCGAAAAAAGGCAATTATGTTGATATGCTTAAAATTATGTTGATGTATTTAAACTTTACTGTACAATTGGCGGGTTTCTGTCGTTGCCTAATGAGGCATTCTATAGCAGTCATATGGAAAGTTATGAAATATTTCTATTTTATAATAACAAAATATTGTATTTTGAATTTTGCATTCCGGAAAACTTTGTTTTTTTTTCATTATCAATATTTTTCAGTATAGAATTGTGAATGCAAAATTAATCAAATATAATAAATTTTTATTTTTGTCAATTTCTTAAATTCTTATCTTATCATTTCATTCGCTAACTTTTGATTGATAATCTCCATTCACCCCTCATGACATTCACCCTATTTCTATTCAAGGTCTTTCCTCCTGAATTAAAAATTTTCCTATAATTGCTATATTATTGTTAGTGAATTTCAAATCCGTATTTCTATCTTAATAAGTATTTATCTTGGAAAAAAATGGCATGGCTGGTCTTTAATCTGGGGGCGATTCTACTAAATAAATTTTGTTTAAATCCAATCGAAAACGGATCGAAAACGTTTTTATTGGTTACTACAGTTTTTAATGGTTTTCCTATTCTACAAAGTGACATACGATACAATTCCAGTTCTATTTTAGCTGGAATTTTATCGTATGTCACTTATATAGTCGATCCGTTTTCGATTGGATTTAAACAAAATTTATTTAGTAGAATTGGCCCCCAGCAATCTCTCTATAACCAATTAAGTACTTTTACAATTGAGCTATCGGAGGGCAAATTGTCACTTTTACCGCACGCGATCGAGTTTTTTAAATATTAAGCTAGTCTACCCAAACTATTGAAAAACATATATTTGTACAAATTTCTATATTTTCCGAGTTTACCGTGTTTACATTTGTCTTTCACGGAGACTTTATTGAATATTTTTTCTTATTATTACAGGTTCAAGCACAATCATTTGAAGTTTTTGATGAAAAAATACGCATTTCTTCAGTATATCCATTAAGAGCACCGCCAAATTTTGAATTTTGTCAAACTGAAACAGTATACATACCGACTCCTAACCCAGTAGAAGTATCAGCAGTAGAATGTGCAGAAACAATTGTAAATTTACCTGTACCAATTGATCAACCATTGATTCCGAGACCAGGACCAATACCATATCAACCATTAATTCCTACTACCCCAATCACTCCTTTCCCTATTCCAACATCACCTCCACCTTTTGCTATACCGAAACCGCTACCATTTGGTCCGTTTTCTTCATCACCTATTATTCCCACATCGACACCTGTACCAACATTTCCAACTCCCATACCATATATACCATTTCCTTCATTGCCTAATGTTTCCGCACCTCCACTTTTACCAACATTCACAGCACCCTCATCACCTATACCAATTGTCTCACCGCCTACTGGTTCGGCACCTTCGTCTATACCAACTTTTCCTACTACTATAACATCTATGCCACTTCCTCCAACTATTGTCTCGACACTTCCTCCTCCACCAACGTTCCCAACATCTACACCCGTAACGTTTCCTCCATTGCCTATTGATCTCACACCTCCAACTATACCAACGTTACCAACACTTATACCAGTTAAACCACTTCCTCCACCGTCTGTAGTTTCGACACCACCTACTCTACCAATATTCCCAAAACCTCCACCATCCTTACCACTTCCTCAATTACCTAATGTTGCTGCACCTCCTTCTCTGCCAATATTCCCAGTACCTCCTCCCACATTACCATTTCCACCATTACCCATTATTGCCACTCTTCCACCTGTTCCTACGTTGCCATCTGTTCTACCCGCTCCAATGCCGTTAATACAAACAACATTAGTAAATAATCAGCTGTCGAATTCTTTAGCTAATGTTTTACAAACGTTGATAGTAGGAAAACTTATGTCAACTACAGCAAACCCTTGTTTTAGGGACATCAAACCTTTGTACGATGCAATAGGAACTATTGGAACTGTAGAGACTTATTTATATTCTTATCCTGAGGCTGTGGAACAATTTTATTATTATACATAATTGTGTCTCTATTTAAATAATGAATATTTATATGGATATAACCAATACGTGTTTAAATTATAGAATACTTTTAAGTAATAAAATATATTGTAACACAATAAAAGTAGTATACTGTTCATTTGATCCTTTCGTTCCTTTGATCTTTATAATTAAAATTATGAGATCAAGCCCAAAAGCGTCTTGATAAAAAAATGGTGACAGATTTTTTGTTATTTTGTGATAAAGTGACAAAGAAATGTGTCAAAAATGCTATTGATATAATAATTAAGTTAAAATTAGCAAAATTGAACCATTTCTGTTAATGAGTTACAATTAATAAATATTGCTACCCGAAAATAATAATTTCGTCTATTAATATAAGCTATTAGTGCAAAACGTATGACTTTCATTTAAGAATTCAAAAATAACACAGCTAATGATTTAATTACATATTTATTTCCCATACATTATAATAAATTACAAGCATAACAAATTAACATTTTATATTCAAACAAATAAATTAATAACTTATACTACATGCACTATAAATAACCAGACATTAGATTAGCAATATTAATAGGGTACGAATTCGCAGAAGGAACGCCAGTAGACACTATGTTAGGAAGGACATTAGGTGAAATAAGGTTAGGGGAGACGAAGTTAGGGGAAATAATGCTATTAGGAATGAAGTTAGGAACATTATTAGGAATGAAGTTAGGTATACTATTGGGTATAAAATTAGGAATACTATTAGGGACAATATTAGGGGCGTTAAAAAATGGATTCGGGCAACCGCAAGGTAGAGAACCAGAACTAAAAAGGTCACTAATAATTTGAGCGCTTAGTTGGGATGCTAAAGGCGAGCCTGGTCTTGTATTTTGTATAAGATTGGAAACAATCATAAGTTGAAGTGTATCAGCTAAGTTTTTACACGTTGCAGGGGAACAATCAGTTATTATGGTAGTAGAAGGAGCACTAGGGGCTACTGGAAATAGATTTCGGTAAGCGTTTTCGATGATTTGATTTGACAATACATTTCTAGGAGGCTCGATAATATCCGTTGGCGCTGGGAGATACTGTGATGATACCTGTAAATATAAAAAAACGTTTCTAAGATGTTTTATAACTAGAATTCTGAAGAAAAATATTGTTGTTTAATGGAATAATCTCAATAGTTTTTTTTTGCTTAAGTATCTAAATTATAATAAAATTTAATGCTATTTTTTGGAGGTATTTTTCATCGTGACTATATCTTCATTATCATTCATATTTAATTTTATAATTACTTTCGAATAGTTATAGCACCTGAATAATACAACAATATAGGTAACACGCGAAGACAATATTAAAAGTTTTTTTTTGTTATTAATTAAACCAGCGCGTTATAGAAGTGACTTCCATGATTCTTGATTAATAGGTATAATTATGCAGTTGATAGAAAATCGAACTATCGGACCTCAAAGGAGATGATTCTATGAAATTGCCCTATACCTGAAATGCTCCAGCATTATAAATGTAAACACCGATAGAACAATCTCCAAAAAGTTGCAGTATAAACCATGAGAAGGAAAGAAAAATAAATAAATTATATGATAAAAAATAATCAAGTAATTTTGTTACCTGTAAAGTTATAAGCAGAATATAACTGAATGATAAAACTACTTTTCTCATATTTAAATTAATAAAACGCTTAGTATGACTTTGTTATGTGTAATGCGTTTTACTATAAGTTATTTTATAAAGAAATATTACTTCGTTCGTTTATTTATGCCTCTAACTTATCAATCAATCAAAAATTATCGATTTATTATGTAATTTAAAACGTATTATCAATGTTGAATATCATATTGTAATATTATTCATTATTCATGGTGGGATCACGTAACTAAAATTTTTAAACTTTATATTTTATTAATAATTTATTCGAAGTGATTGAGAATTTTCCAGATATTCTATCGCATGGCGGTTGCTAGCCATAGCTAGAAATTTTATTGATTTTATCAACGAATGTAATAATAATTCCATCATAACGATATGATCTAAAGTTTTACTAAATAGGTTAAAGCACAGATAGTGGGCTAGAGATTGAGCTAGGGAGTTAACCAGTCAAGTTAAAGATTTCCTTCTAAGATCCTTTACCTTTCGATTAGCTCTAAAATTCCAATAAAGCATATTTTAACATGAAATCTCTTTCATAAAAAAAAGTCATGGCACAATCAAATAATAAGTGTTTACCTTGAAATTGTACTAAAAGGCAAGAAGCCTGCCGGGTCCAAGGTGAGGTTGCCTATGTTCCAAATAGTTATATTTGTTACAGGGAAGATCTATTATATTTACGTGATCTTAATTATATGTTACAGTCACAGTATTGAAGTCACGTATTAATTGTATTATGAAGAAAATTGGGTTAGAGTTGCATAAGGTCGTTAAGAAATTGGTTTTAATGTAACAACATTTTTAAAAGATAGTAAAAAGTTATTTATTAAAGAGCACACGCTGTTTTCAGTTATTTGGCGTTTGTTAGAAGTACGTTAAAAAATCGAAATGGATGCGAAAATTGTATTTATAATGGCAACGTTTTTTTGTGTAAGTGCATAGTGTATTTGTCACATACGTATATTATATACATTTTTATAGCATGTCGTGTTAGTACGCGACGAGGGCATAAAGCTTTTATAATTTTGTTAAGGTTAAAGGCACATTTTTATGTTTAAATTTTATGCAAATGGATAGGAGACCATATGTTGTAAAACTGTATATCTATGTTTTATTGTAGTATATCTATAACATAAAACAACACTAGACTAGACAGCAACTATAACGACACAAAAATGTGATTCCACCTTAATATTTTTTATTTAAATATATATACTAATCTGTGAGTTAGATTTTAATTAATATTATGAAAACGTTTACATAAATAATTATAGAATATTCATAGGAAGAAAAACGACCTGTCAACTTTTTATATAGATTTTAGAACTCTTTATCTAAAGTTCATATATTGTTTTATCAGTATTGCACTGTAAATGCATTTCTAATAAATTATTAATGTTTTCCAATTAAAATATGTGTGACAATCTATTTTGAAATGTAGATAAAATTATTGAGATAAAGGCCGTTTTTTCAATACATACTTAGATAATTTAATATAAGATAAAAATATAAATACTTTTGGTTATCTTTTTAAGTGTACTAAAATAAATTTGGATTTAATATGTTGACATCTTAGTTAAAAGTTAATATTTTCGTTATACCTATCAAAATTTACAAGTGACAGCTATTTACAAAATTGATGAATAACTTTATCTCTATTTGGAATTTCTTAAATAAAATTGGCATTACGTCTATAAAAATATATTTTGTACTTTATTTTACAGGTTGCCACGGCACGATTAATAAAAATGTCCTCTTCAACACCTCCCCTAAGCTGCGACATAATTACTACACTTGGCCTATTAGGCGAATTGCTGGTAACATCGGATGAAGTGCCACCGCCATGCGCAAGGAGCACATCCGGTTGTGGATGCGGATGTAAAAACGTTCCATCATACGTGGATGTGATTTTACCTCCATCTGCAGTGGAGTTGCCTTGTGGTTTGGGATATTCACCCGCCGCAGCACCGTTAGTTGCTACGGCTTACGATTGCTCTGATACATGCATTTCTTGTGTTCCAGTAACTTCACCATACACTTGTACTAAGCTAGTAACTCCCCTTTGTCCTGAGTTAAGAGCTTACGCTAAGCCAATTATACTGTAATAAGATAAGTACCGAGAATTAAAAAAAAATAATAATAAAATTACATATTTCCAAAAAGTTATATTTTTACTGAGTTAATATCTTTTTCTAGATTATATAATAAATAAATCCTAAACAGACACGCGTTTCACATGAAAAACATCCAATAATTCCATACGAGTAAACCTGAAAAGTCTTAAGTGAATTTAATTTGGAAACAAGAAGGTGTCATCGATTTCCAGTAGACTTCGCTGGTAGCCTCTTTTCTAATAAAGAAAAAAATATTTTACGTTGCCTCGAAAACTCCAACAAAACTTTAGTGAAAATCATTGGTAAAAACAGAAAAATTAAATACTTGGTTGTGTATTGAAGATTCCTTTGCATTTGATGAACTAAAGATAAATATAAAGTCATTGCTTCATAAGCATGTCGATTCATTTGAAAAAAAAAATCGATCTTATCGAATCAAAACATATTTGAATCGCTTCTCAATTAAATCGTGCATTAAAAAACGATTTTCGATTAATCATGAATTTGTCAATCAAACATGCCTTATATAGCCTTGTTATCATCAATAGAGCATTATTGATGATAATTTACCGTTAATACAAATAATGTAAGAATTGTAGGAGACCAATCAGGCAGTCTGACTATAGTCTTATCTAAATAAGTCAGTCATAAAAAATAAATTAATCGAATAGAAATGACAAGAATGTCATACCAAACTTAAAAATTCATTTAAATATTTCCCGCTCTTGTAACTAGGTATATTTTTTTGTTATTAACGAGTGGGGCGATTATGGGTGATTCTACGAGTTGGAGTAACAGTGACAGTAGGTAGTGACAATGACAACTATACTTTACTGACATCCGAATGCGTTCATAAGTATTTATTTTATGTGATGAAATAATCAATGGATCCGACAACAGCAAATATTAAAAAACTAAAAATATCGTAGCCAACTTTTTTATATTGTTAGTTCTTGAATTGATTTGAATCGGTCCGATTCGAGGGGTCCATGCATTGATTCAATAATTGATGAAGCATTCCAAATCGGTTTGAATAATGGATTATATTACTCGAATTAATCGATATTTCGATTAATCGTTTCAGATCGACATGCCTACTTTACTCATATATCGCGGGTATAGAAACAAGGTTTAAAAATCTTTTGTATTTCAATATAAAATTATAGAAAACAATCTCTTAAAAATGGTTGAAGCACAAAAGTTTAGAATTGAACAAGAAATGACCAATATGGTAAATGAATTGGACCGAAGTTTTCTGCGCCGAATGCAGGTTAGTTTGTAGGTTATATTGTCATGCGATTTTTCTTATGCAATAACTCAATTGCTTGCCGGAATCGCTTGTAATTCAGATAACGCATACAAAAACTGTTACTTAAGGGATGAATTTATAAAGATCAATTATAAGATTTATAAATTATAGAAAAATCACAGCTATCGTTTGCGTTATATCAATTTTCCAACTATTAGGTTCTTTTTAAATTACTTTCAGGTTTATCTGTTACAAAAGCACTTTTCAAGCCGGAAAATTGAAAATAATTACTAAATATTGTACCCACAAAGTCATGAGAAACATGTATTATTAATTTATTTAAAATTACAAGAAGTTTAAATTAAATAGTAATATTATGGTCATAACTCAAACTTTGAAGCAGCTAAAAATTATATAGATAGTTTAATCCTTAGTAGTTCAGATAGAGCAAAGAATATGTGAGTGATTCACATATTCTGATTTTACATAGAAAAAAAATTACATGAATATTGATTTTTATTAAAAGTACTAACTTAAATAACAATTTAATATTTAGAAATTTATGTTGTTTTAAATAAAAATGTGTTCAGTAGCAATTAAGGTTGCCAACCATACTCTAGTACCTAGTCTATATTTTGTAGGCTTACACATGGTTTCTGAATTGAGTATTTTAAGTTAAGTATGTCTGTACTAAAATGTTGCTGTTAGTTTTTTTTTAATGATCGGCTGATAGCAGTTCAATAAAGAATAAGACTTTTTGCCTTGTGAAAAGTGAAAAACTCAAGTTATCAAGAATATTCAGTTGAGATATTGTACTTTCTTAATTCAGAAACTGCCTGTTAGTCTAATATCGTAAATACTAATAGAGGAGGCTAAGATACTCTTCTTTTTTACATAATTTTATTAAACTAGTACTAGTCAGGTATACATGATGCTTACCTTTTATCATAAAAACCCTATCAATAAAAATCTTAAATAAATAATAGTACTTATTTCTTCCAATTAAATATAATTAAATATTTGCATAACATTGATTTACAGTGACATTGAACTTACATTTAGTCAAGGTCAATGTCATTAGGTCACTGTTGTTTAGTACATGTTAATGCTGACTTATAACAATAATTGAAGATTGTAAAATGTCATGTATTATATTTTGAAAAGTTAAATGCTTTGCAAACACAATTACTGCTTACATATTTTGCTGCAAATATGATTATTTTTGAACTGAATTAAAAAATGGAGGAGGTTATCAATTCAACTGTTTTTTTCTCTCTTTGTTATGTCATAACTTTTTACTGGGTGGACCAATTTTGATGATTCTTTCTTTATTTGAAAGCTAGTGCTTGCCATCTGGCCCCATTTTTTGGTCTAAATCTGACAATGGCATCTATAAGAAAACCATATAAGTCTAATATGTATTTGCATTAAGTATGCATGATGTTTGTTACCCCAAAACTCAAAATATCACTTAAATGTATGAAATAAAAACTTTTTATAAAAAGATGGATGGAGATGGAACTTTTCACCTTGAAAAGGTGAAAAATTTGAAATTGGTTCCATTTTTTTTATAAAAAGCTTTATTATCAATATCTGAATACTTAATGTTCACATAAATAACACAATATATTATTGTGACTTTTTTTAAATTAAAATAAAGATTTACAAGTCCTTTATCAGAAAATAGAATACTCCTATTTTTTACTTTTAAACTATCACACTGCATTATTAAATACTTATAATAACAAGTATTAGACACAATTTTTCACTGACCAGTGCCAACATACATGATATATTATAAGTACATACTCCTTCCTATGTTTATTCTAAATTATAATATTCTGAGAATATTGATAATTTCATGATCAAAATGAGATCAATGGGACACTGTAGGTCTACTAATGAAATAGTACCCATTTACCTAAAATGTTACATAGTATAATCACCCACCATAACCCTGGTGGAAAATTACCTATATGTAGAGTATTTACTAAAACAATTTTCAAACAGTTCTATCACATGTGAATGTAAACAAGGAAATAATAAACTATACCTATTCAATTGTTACTGTAGTAGTTCTTATAAAATTATTCTTTTCAAATCAATGGCGTACAATAAATTTTCACATAATCTGCCATATTTTTTTGAATATAAGATTAACAGAAATAATGCTGTATTTGTAAAAACTCATAATTTACATAAAATGTCACTATGATCAATTACTCTTTCAACTGATATGAATTAAAAGTTGTTACTGTAATTTCAGGGTGACATGCACAGATGCGCTGCAAGATGTTGTGACGATCAGGATACCTCACTAGAGAGAGTACATGGCTGTATAGAGAATTGTACATCGCAATTGAACCAAGCTAATAATTATGTACAGGTGAGAATAAAATAAGCTTGATTTGGATGTTAAGCAACTTAGCACTGCTCTGCAGTTGTTTACGTGTTAAAAAAAAAAAGTTTAAATTAAAAAAGATGTGAAATAAAACGTAACTGATTTTATTTACAGATATACTTAATGTAGAAGTGTAGTAAACAGCCATTCATATTTTTTTTACTTTAATATCAATCCATCGGTTGATATGAATATGATTGACAGGATAACTAACACATACTATTTTACACCTTATTGTGTTTATAACAAGGCTTATTGTTAATATATAAGGTTTATATTCACACTGAACTGGTGATCCATCAGTCCATCAATCATACTATTTATTCCCTTGATACATTCAACCTATATATTTTTTCCTACCACTATTTCATAGTTTATTAAATCTTTATTCTTTTTTTCACAGAATGAGATAAATCATCTCCAGAATAGACTGCAGCGGTGTGTGATGGACTGTAACGATTCAGCGAGAGACAGACTAGGACCGGATCCTAGTCAAGAGACGGTTAGTATAAACTTCTACAACTTTCTAACAGCCTGGTACTTGAGTAGTTTAAGACTAAATGCCATGATTATTTCGAGACAAGTTGATCCAGTTAAATTTGGAAACCATTCTATTTCATTGGACTGGCTTAATTGTCTCCAATTATACAAGGCCATTGAATTGTTTCAGCTATTGGACTTGTGTAAATGGACTATGACGCCGTGGGTTACTTTGTTATTATTTTCTACAATATGGAATGTTGAGTAATCTAAATATATTTTTAGGTGGACAAATGCACAATAGAATTTGAAAAATGTGCTGTGAAATGCGTCGATAAGCATATAACTTTGATACCTTCAATGATGAAGACCATGAAGAAAGTGTTAGCAAGTGGGAAACCACCACCGGTGAAGAGTGAATAACTGATGGTGAAAGAGTTGACATAACTGATGTGAATTTGAGTGAATATTTTGCGTATTCTTGTTATATTACTGAACGGTGTTGTATAGTACTCGTATCTATAGTTAAGTACAAGTATTTACTTGAGGTAATAACTATAGGAAATATTCTTGACCAATAGAAGAGAATTTCGATGAAGTATGAACTGTCAATGGCCAGAATTTGCTATAGCTATAGATACGATTGCAAGATATAACTGAAATATTGCTCGTTGAGGTGATGATTACCCGCTACTTGTTTGTCACATGCTACCATATTGTTTTAGTTACATTTTTTATATTGTGAATTTCTAAACTTATACAGGGTTATTAGTAAAACACCATCAACTTCAGGACCAGATACTTCTGATTATTCGTTACAAGTTAATTTAAAACGTTAATAACTCTTCATGCATCTGGTATCTAACAAGTATTTTCGTCATATACGTAGCGCCATAAAAAATAGACCTATAAATTTCACAGTAGTGCCATTAAAACTTGAATAATTATTATTCAATGTATTATGTAATGGTTAAATTCAGAGATCACGCATTGATGTTCATAATGTTAGCTATCTAGCAGGACTAGCAGGCTTACTCTTGAGCGTAATCTCACTGTCAATAGGGAATATGCACATTTTTGAAAATGTTTTTATATGATAATTTACATCGATATATAACTGTAAAAAAATACCCGGCACCGAAAAACTAAAATTTTGTAACATTAATAATTGGTGAAAATAAGTAATAGCTACGAGCAGTTTAAACAGCGGAATTTTTGGCGCGCTTATCGTGACTTCAAAGTACACGACTAGAGATATGACATTTTAAATCAATATGTATTTTGAGTGATTGATTATTATCTAATTACCCAAATCGATTAACAACTAATCGATTTTTTAAAGTATAATAAACTTTTTAACAAATCATATAGTTTACCAAAATGATGAAATAAAAATAAAAGCCTAAAAAATCATTTAAATTGTGAACTGTTTTTTAATTTTGCCATAAATACATTGATGTTATTGCATCGATGTTAACTTTTTATAACAACGACATCCCTATACGTGTACATTTTCGTCACATCCGCTCTGACAAGTAGCATGGCGTTTGAATATTTTGAAGTTACCGCATTTTTTAGTCAATTTTTAATAATTATTTTCAAGGCGAAAACGAACTAATTTTGAAAATTATCTAGATAGACTTTATTCTAAAGCAATAACGATTGTAATAAAATATATTTAACCCTTTTTTTGAATCAGACACATTCTCTATTACTATCCAATCCAATATTCATTAAATCTCGATTTTCATTAAATCTTAGCTTGTAATTGGAACACAGACTCAATACTTTCTCAATGTTAATTAGTTCATTCAATAATCACGCATTATTAAGCCAATTGGCGTTAGTGTACCAAATCAAGAATAGAAAACGTCACTATTGCAATGTCGATCGGGCGCAATTTACAAATAAGACTGTCTATTAAAGTGATGTTTCTTGCTGCTAGCATAAAGTATTTGAATAATGAAATTTATTTAACTTTACATTTCAAAATAACAATTTGTGTCAGATTATAATAACAGGTATGCCCCTTTACTCTCGAACATAATCGATTGCGTTGGAAAGCTGGACTTTTGAAAATTCGAATTAAATATAATTTTTAAACAGCCAAATAAGACCATCATATTACCTGAAAATAATATTTATTTATTTATTATCCCATCGTCCATTGCCACGGTGCTTAAGTAGATTTGGTCAACTGAGTTATTTTTTTTAATTGTCTATAAAGAATATATTTTAATCCTAAAAAACAAAATCAGCACACAGTTTCTAATTACTGATATAATTTCGTGTAGAATTCGTTGTCCTGTAAATTTTGCTTTTTGCAATTTACTGTATCTCCTTAGGCGCTGTCAATTTATCTATTAAATTTTCCGACTTTGGCTAATTTGGGAAATATATAATTGTAAAAAAATTACTGCTACGTATAAAAATGGAATCGCGGGCTTATTCCGTGTATCCACTCTGAAACAGCCACCCTAAGGTGGATACACGGAAACGCGTGTTTATCCACCCTGAACGGGGTGGATAACAGGAATCCGTATCATAATTTGACTTCCGGTTTTCTGGCCCGCCTGTGTACAGTCATTTAAAAAAACGTATAAACCCAGCCCAAGATACTTGGTACCTAACATTAAAAAAAAGAAATGATTTATTTTAATTAATGAAAATGTGATTTTTATAAATACACGATAGAAGCTTTTGTGTAGTAGATAATTGTATTCCACTGTACTTAGGGTAAACAATCAGAAAAACATTCAAAAGTGACTTCCATCTATCCATCCCGTTCAGGATGGATAGATGAATCCGCGTTTCCGAGTATCCACCTTAGGGTAGCTGTTTCGGTGGATAAACGGAATAAGCCATTGTTTTTATTTTAATGCTATTTCAACATTTATAATTAGGTCAGAGCATTCAGTGTATAGTATGAAATTGTTGATACAATGGTTTTGAAAGTGAATATTTACTGTGGTAGGCAATTTTGGAAGATAGTTTATTTAGATGTATTATAGTGTAAATAAATTGTTAAACTTTATTTTTTGGTTTTATTTAATTTTGTGTATTTTAGGAACTAATAATAAAACGTTCTCAAAATAGACAAGGTTATATGTAACAATTACTTCTATTGATTATCCTAATTAGAATTCCTAATAGTCGAAAATATGTATACTTACCTACAAAATGATCTGTCATAGGTGTATGTAACAATATCTTCTTAATTTAACTACTCAGCGATATGAATGTTGTTATGAAACAAGATATAAAATGAACTAAAAGATGATAAATCAAATTTAATAATTTATTTACATTAAACAAAAAAATAAAATAAAAGGGACGAGGTGATTAGTGAGGTGAAAAGTGTAGAAGTGTGAGTGAGAGTGTCAGTGTAGGTGAAGGGGCGTGGGTCAGCGGTGAAGTTCCGTTGATGAAGTACTTCAGCAGTCTTGAGGGGCGTCTGGATCCCGAGCGTAAAATCGGCGAGGCGTAGTCTCTCGATGCGTCGAACAGGAGGTTCTTCGGCAGCCAAGAACTGAGAGCGTAAATCGGTGAGGAGTAGTCTCGATGCGTCGAACAGGAGAATCTCCGGCAGCCAAGAGCCGAGAGCGTAAATCAGCGAGGCGTAGTCTCGATGCGTCGAACAGGGGATTCTTCGGCAGCCCAGAACTGAGCAGCAGCTCGGGCCTAAGGTGTATACTCGCAGACAGCCTCCAGGAGTGAAGTAGCGAAGGAGATTATAGTGGAGTATTGATTTGTTGTCGTCTAGTTAAAGCCAGAAAGATGTCATGTGACTTTGAGACCGTAACTTTGAAGAGTTCCCGGGGCAGTCGGCCCCGGGAAATAGGCCTTTTAAGAATTTAGCTAGCTCTGTACGAGCTCCAAAAAGCTAACTTGGCAACTGTTGCCGTTGAAGTGATGAAGAACTATTTGAGCGAGGCTATTTATACCTGAAGACGAACTCAAATTTAGAAGTAAATGATTTCAAATTAGAACCCTAAAAATTCAAAAACTACAGAGTTTCAATGCCTAAAACTGACAAACAATGAGTCAATTTTCATGAAGAGTATCAAATATAACCATAGCAACGAAGAAAAACTTTGATGTCAATTCTGTCAAAACAATTAAAATTAGCGATAATTTGTGTTATAATACATAAATAAGTGTTTTAATATGATTAGAATTGGTAAAATGTATAAAGAAAAACTATGAAAAGTACAGGTAAGGGTTCACATTAGTATAAGTAGACAAAAACATAGGATGAAAGTTCGTAAAGGTTTGGATAAGTTTATATTACAGAATTTTAATGGTTACAGATATAAAATTGAAGGTCCATTGTTATAGAATGAAGAAAGTAAAGCATATAAATGGAAAACACTAAAAAGTTTATCGATATGAGTGATATAAATCTAAGGAATGAAAACGATACGAAAGGTTAGTTACGACAATGTGTTGTTAATTACATTGAACATTGGCTAGTCATCACGTCTAAGACAATAAAATTTATCCACACATTGCAAACTTTCCGTAGGTGTGCTTGATGATTTCTTATGATAGGTTCGGTGCTTGATGGTTAGTAAATAAAACGTCTGACTAGGTTATATTTTATATGTAGCACATTAATTGATAGTTCACGTTTATCATAATAAACGTTTACATGTTTCTATACTGCTGATTTCAGAATTCAGAAAAAGCATATAGCGTTACTCAAAATTTCAAATCGCGAAAAATGAACAATAAAAACGAAATGATGTTACTTAATGTGATGTTAATGATGTTAGTTGTTATATAAAAATTTGGATACGGAAACCTAGGATTAAACTTATTGCATCTTGCCAAAGTCTTAACCTTTTTTCTTAAACTTTGTTGATTGTTCTTAAACTTTCGTTCGAGATAATATTTTCACATACTACTCTCTTTCTCCTGCCCTTTACCCTATTTATAGCGGCTGCTTTCTTGTCCGAACAGTAATTACTGTTCCGACAAGAAAGCAGGCAGACTATTACCTCCATGTCAGGGAAATACTTTTTTTTTAACAATTTTAAAGCATTTTCAACACTTTTTGTGCCTTGTCCGTGAAAGTGTAACTAAAGAACTATTTAATGAATAGCCTGTAACACATATTGTACTTAACATGTTTGTAAATGAATAAATTATACTAATCAAGTAGCATTACATGGAACTCAAAACGAGACTCCTAGCCCACCCACAGTCAAACTGTTAATATAGTTTTGTGGTACCTAAGATTATTTAAATTTTGTAATGGAAAGAATTAAAGAAAATTATTATTATTATTAAAAAGTTTTCGCATTTATTGCTCAGTCGCTATATGGGACCGGCATGCGGTGTGCGGGCCGACTTTGCGCGCTCATCTCATCTATTCTAATACTTATAAAGGGGAAATATTTGGTTGTTTGTTTGCATTCGAAAATATAATTTACGCAGGCGAAATCGAGGAAACAACTAGTTGGTCAATAAAACAACGAACGACTAATGAAGAAGATTAATAAATATCGCCCGCACGCTGTATGCGGGTGCCAT